GTTTTAGATTATCTTACTCTTATTATTTAAAATTAATTTTTCAATTTGTCGTTTCTTTTGAAAAATATTATCAAAATACTTTTTTATTCTTTTTTTTTATGTAATTTTATTTGTTAATAAATACAGTTTATTTCTTTCTTTCTATTGACAAATTTTTGAATGAGTTTGTTTTTTAACCAAATAACCAATTGAAAATTAATTTTTGTGTGTTTTATTTGCTTATTTTTTATAGAATCAAAATTTATTTTATAATTATTTTTATTACGGTCTATTAACTTCAATAAATTCCTTGCAACTTAAGCTTCTTTGAAAATATTTTTCAATTTATACTACATATTTTGATTCACCGAGTATGGTCACGAGATATAAAAATAATTAGGATCGTTGGTTTTATTGGAAATTAAGTATGCATCTACACAAATAATATTAACTATTTGATATTTTTTTAATATTCTAAAGTTAATTTCTCTATAATAATATAATTAAAATAATATTTGAGAAGAACTAACAAATAATTTAAATATATTTTTTATACTACTATTTTTTATTATATATATATATATATATATCAAATTTACATATTTTTTAAAAGTTATTCTTCTCATCAACAATAAACAAGAATAAAAAAGATTGAGTTAATCTTTATAAGAGTTTTTATATCAATTGTTAGCTTATTTTTTCAATGCAATCTTATGAAAAAAGTATTTAGATGTTTTCTAAATTTGATATTAAAATTTTTATTTAGACTATTTCAAGGTTTTTTTTATTTAAGAGAATGCATAAGAAAGAACAAATCATTTTTTTTAACTACAAAATTTGTGAAAAGCATAAAGAAAAAAAATTGTATACAAATATTTGATTAAGAAATTTGAAATTAATTCTATAGTATTAAAAATAATAATAGTAAATGGTTAGCGTTGTGTGTGTAGATGCATAGTTAATTTTTAATAAAATTAATAATCTTAATATATATAATGACCATGCTTAGTGGGGCAGAGTGTGTACCATAAATTAAAAAAATATTTTTAAAAAAAATTTAAAATGTGAGGAATATATTGAAGTTAGTAGATTACAATAAAAACAATTATAAAATTGATTTTAATATATTTTAATTATATAAAAAATAAACAAATAGAACACATAAATTCTATTTTTAATTGATTATTTATTGAAAAAAACTTATTTAAAAATATGTACATAGAGAAAAATAATTTATATTTATTAACCAAAAAAATTATATAAAAAATAAAAAAATAATTTGATGAGATTTTTCATGAGAAACGACAAATTGAAGAGATTAATTTAAACAATAAAAAATATTTTTTTAATTGTAAAATTAATAAAAATAAATTAAATATAATTATTTGATTAAAAATTATGAAATTTGATGAAATTTTTTCTTATATTTTTAATTTTATAGATTTTAGTTGATCTCGCATATTCTAAGCAGACTCTAGGAGATCAATTTTTTAAGTACTGTAATCTTTTAGCTGGTGGAATGAATCATGTATCGATTCGTGTACCTCTCTTATGATCTCGCTACGGGGACAGCGTGTTGCAAAAATGATTATTTATATATAATGGAACTCGTGAACTAAAATGGCCATGTTGCAGTTAATTCTATGCTGCTAATGATTCTTTACTTTACATTCTGTTCAGTAAGGTAATTCAAATCGAAAAAGGTATACAACGATTTATTTATTTCCTTGATTAACAAAACAATATCCTTGTGTGTTAGTGATTAATTACGCCTGTATTGTTAAAAACGTACGTACCTAAGACTAGACTTAAAGTTTTAGAATCAAAATGCTTCTATAGTCTTACGCAAAGCTCATTTTTCTAAAGCAAATAAGTTATAAAACAAAGTATATTTAATCATATTATTATGATTGATAAAGCTTTACAACTCAATGAAACTATGAGTTTAATACACTTAATGTCCCTATACTTTAACAAAATTATTGTTACAATCCCTATACTCAAATAAAATTTATAATCGATCTTGTATTATTGAAAATTGATGTAAAATAACTCATTTGTTATTTATTTTTATTTTTTTATTAGTTTGACTAGTTGTCGTTAATTAATTTATAAATATCCAATACAATATTGACATCTATCATTTTAAGGATGAAATATAATTTCATTTTTAATTTTGTTCTTCTTGATTTTGTTTCAAGTTTAAATCATTTAAAAAAAAGAAAAAGAAAAAGCAACAGTTGTAACCAGTATCGCTTGACCCCTTAATATCAAAGAACCCCCCTCTCTTCATGTATGTGGGCTACCTGCTTCGTCCCGAATAGACGAACAGAAACAAGCTGAAGAAAGGCGAGAGAGAGCATCACTCTTGGAAAACAATAAATGATGTTTTGTTTACAAGAAAGATATAACAATCTCCAATGTGATACCTAATCCTAACCCAGTCCGCGTAGGCGAGTCAATCGATAAGGCTTTTCTTCCAGTCCTGCTAGCCAAAGCAAGTAGTCAGATGAGCAGGCCAGGTACGTCTTTCCAGAAGGATAATTTTAGTCTTTAAGGCTGTGTTTGTTTGCTGGAACTTATTTTTTTATTTTTTAGTGTTTGTTTCACATTTAGAAAAAAAGTCAATGAAAAATAATTTCCAATCAACAGAAAATGATGGAGTAATTTTGTAAAAATGTTTTCTCAATTTCAAAAAAGAAAAACATTTTCCTTCTCACGAGTCTGTCTCGCTCTCTCATTACTTAACTCTCTCTCGATATATTTTAACAATTTTTTTTCTTTATCTTCTTTTTATTTAAAATATATCATATTAATTTTTAATTATTTATTATCAATTATTATTAATTATTTAATTATTTTTCTCTATTTTTACTAATATTTGATTTTTTTTATTTTTAAATACATTAAATATTTTTAAAAACCATTTTTACACCTTAAAATTATTTTTATAATAAATATTTCAATAACTTATCTTTTTTTTTTACTATTGTCTCAAACACTACCTAAGCTATAGCTAAATGAGCGAAAATGATTATTACAAGATTATAATTTTTTGTAAAAAAAAAATTAAAATTAATTAATTCATCAATAAATACATTATTTTTCCAACACTATTCATTTGTAATTAAATCAATAATTTGTAATTTTAATCAATTGTAAAATTTTATTGATAATTGGAATGAATAATTAGTTACAAATTATTCCAACATTAATCTTTTGAGACCAAATAAATAATTATTTATAAATGATAACTAATAATTTATAAAATTATTTTTTAGACTAAATTATCTCGTTCAATTTCTTTTTAAAGAAAATTCTTAATTTAGTTACCAAAATAATAATGCTAGGATTACTTAAAATTTTTTTTTACTAAATATGAATATTGACTTGATTTTGTCCCAAGTAATTTTGATGATTTGATTTGATGATTAAAAAAGTACATTTTATTTTTTGAATTAAAATTTTAGAGTTAGTATTTATGAAAATTTATTAAATTTTTCTAAATGTATCTTATATTATGAAATTATAAATATGTCTTTTAAAAATTTTCTCAAAACTTATTGATATAACAATCACATAAGTTTTTGTATTTTAATTTTCCGTATCAAATAAACATTGGAATATATTTTTCAACAGTTTTTTTATATAATTGCCAAATGATAGAAAATATGTTATTGAAAAATAATTTTTTGAAAAATAGCTTCCTCATAAATTAGTTTTCCTATAGAACTTGTTTTCTCTAAAACAAACATAGCCTAAGTAAAGTTGGGTCATGGATACACCCTCTTCTTTGATCTCTCCTCAAGAGACTATTAGTTATGCTTGGTTGCTGACGCTGGTTATAATTATTATTTTTAAAATGATTTAAATGTAAAATAAAGTCAGAAAACATAAAATTTAAAATAAAATTATGTTTTTACCTTTAAAATGATAGGTATCGATATAGTATTGAAAATTTGTAAATCAACTAACAAAAATTAATCAAATTAACAAAAAAAAATAACAAAAGAGTTATTTTATACAATTTTTTAATATTATAAGATCGGTTATAGATTATATCTAGGTAATTTCGTTAAAATACATTGGAAACAAGATGCATTAAACCCCCTAGGTTTATGCGTGCTGCATAATCAGAACACAGCCTGTAGGATTGAAACATGTCAATTTCTTGAAACTAAAGCATCTTGACTTTTCACTAAGTAATCTGAATCCATCGCTTCAAACATAATCTTAACAAATTTCTCCAATATCCTCCTATTTATACATATAATGGAAAACCTCATTATTGTCTTTTTTTTTTTTTTCAAATAGAAAAAGAAAGGAAAAATGCAAAACACTATGAATTTTTATTTTAGTTTAAGCAATAAGGATGTTCCTAAACCAGCTTCTACGTGTTTGGAGACAAATCACTCACCGAATGTGGTTAAGAAGCACTTCCCGACTAAAACGCTATGAATCTTCAATCTACTTGTGCAGTTAATTTTCTGATTAAAAATGATGAACACTCCAAGCAAAATGCAAGCGTAATTTTCTGTTGGAGCTAGCACAGGTCATTATTAATCAACAAAATTATCAAACATTAATCAATAACAATACAAAACCACGACCAGAAAAGAAGCAATTTCACTACCATGATTCTCAAAACAAAAAGAAAGAGAAAAAAACGCAACCATATTGGAGAAAAAAATTTGCAAAGCAGAAGCAAGTAGCCGTATTTTTACCGAAATATAACTTGGCGCAGAAACTATCAATTAATATAACTTAAACAAACATACTATTGCTAATTACAATAATAATAATAATTAACTTATCACTTTCTTCTCGTACTAATCAACTACTAATATTTTCTTCTAATAAGCACCATTAACTAACATCCACTACGAACATGCATTACTTCTTAGCCTTCTTATGGGTCCTAGAACTGGAAGAACTTTCAGTCTTACAATTTTTCCTCTCCATAGGCGTCAAATTCTTCTGCTTCTTGAACCCATCTGATGTCTTCACCTTACTCAACCTCTTCATTTTTGCAGCTTCACATCCTTCTTACCCTTCTTCAAAATCTCAGGTGTCTTAACCTGACTAAGCCTCTTGGTCTTGACACCTTTCTCCGATATCTTCTTGGCAGCCTTCTTTTCAGGGGTTGAGATCTTCTTGGCAGCACCCTTGTTTTTTTGGGTCTCTTTGATGGCCAATTTCAGCTTCTCAGTTGAAGAAATCTTGTAAGAATTCTTGAATTTTACAAGTCTCTCAGATTTCACAAACCTCTTCAATTGGACAGACAAGACTTTTTTGAAGTTTGGAGGCAGAGACTTCTTGTACTTTTCCTCAATGAATTTTGATATCGCAGGTTGGCTCGATCCTGTCTTGTCCTTCAGTGTTGCTATTGCTTCAGTTATCATCTGCATTTGCAAAACAGAACCATAAATTAAAAAACAAGACAAAGAGAAATGAAATCTTACAATTTGAGCGGAAAGAACAGAACAGAGGACCTCGAAATATGGAGGGAGGGGAGAAGGGGCATTGGTTGTTTTGGTGTTCCTTTTTGGAACAGAGGCAGTTGCTTTGGGCATGTCTGATGAGAGGGAAAGCGGTGAAAAATTCAGAAGAAGGATTAGGATTACGGATGTTGGATTATGAGACAATCAGAATTTTAAAGAATTGGGAAATTGGAACTGCTACAAAAAGATTTTTAATTTCAAATTCCTTATTTGGCGCGAAATAATATTCGTTTTGGAGCATTTTTTGCGCACGTGGTTTTATGGCCGAAAGAATCGTGGTTATCCACAAAAGTGGATTGTTATTCGGATTGCCAGAAAAAGAAGGTTGGGTTTGTTAAAAAAATAAATAAATAAACGAAGGTCCGGTCGTGTGATCGTGGCCCAGGCCCATGATAAAATGCGTAATATTCTTCTAGTTGTTCTACAAAAGCAGAATAGAGAGAACCCAAAGACCAAAAAGAAAAGAAACAAAAATGCAGGTACAGATAAGAGTATATGGGCTTTTCTCCTCGAATCTAAGAAGAAACTGTTAAACTTATGGCGGTGATTAATTGTCGTTATCTCTACTATTGTTTCTTCTCTGCTTCAGCTAAATAATTTCTTTACTTCAATTTCATTGATTAATTTGTGGTAATTTCTTCTTTACTTCATTTATTTATTTATTTTGACTTTTGTACCGTCTCACAGTTCATTTTTATGGTTGAAATATTATCAATATGTGTTTGGAGTAAAAAAAAAAATTCCTCTCTTAACTTATGGTCTTGATTATATTAATTAAGCAAATAAAAACTTCATGATTAATTTTCTTTTCTTTCTTTCTTTCTTTGTTTTTTTTTTAAGAAGAGGACTAAAAGCTGGAAAAAAAATAAATTAAAACCAAGCGCAGTGGAGAGAATGGATTGGCCAAAGAATATTGTAAAGCATTGACAAAAGAATGTAAACCTTGTTAAAAATACAAAAATCTCCTTAGAGTACCTACCGTTGAGTTACATTCCTTAATCAAACTATGGACTTTCAGAGGACGGGTTATGGATTTAATTGGAGAAATACATCCTCATTCTAGCAAAAACCATGCTTATATCTTGGTGGCTACAAACCATCTTACCAAATGAGTGGAAGATAGATCATTAAAGAATGTTATACAAGTAAAAGTGATTAAATTTATATATATATATATAAAAAGAGATAATTGTACGGTTTAGAATTCTTGAATTTATAACTACGAGATCAGAGCTACCGTATTCAATGGAAGAGGAAATCATAGAATTTACATAATATGTGAGATTTAAGATCATTAATTCCAATCGTTATTGTGTGTAGGCCAATCTTTATGCTGAATAAACAAACAAGAACATCAAAGCCAATATATACAAAGTAATCAACAATAACCTAAGAGATTGACATTCATTTTTTTATAGATACATTAAGGGTATATAGAACTACACCAAGGAATGCAACTGGCACCACTCCATATGCATTAACTTATGGGCATGAAGTAATATTACCTTATAAAATAAGGGTGAAATCCTTAAAGTGGCATACCAGAACCAATTCATAGGGACTCAATACCAAAAAGAGATGATGAAAGAGCTGGATGACATTAATCAATACATAATAAAAGCTCTAACTAGTATGCAAGTGCCAAAACAACAAGTAGCGAAAGCATACAATAAAAGAGTAAAAGCCAAAACATTCCAACGTAGAGACTTGGGTTGAAAGATGGTAAAGCCACTCCATTAATATCCTGATACATGAACTCAGTATTTCTTTACGGAAAGAAATTAACAAAACTAAATCCTATTTGAAAGTGAAGATCTAAATTAATTAATCAATCTACACATCTATTTTCTTCTCTGTAAGTATGATGAACTCAAACCCTTCCATTACGATTAAGCAATGATTTAGTTCTTTGAATAAAGGATCATAAGACAACAAAGACGAAGACCCAGTAAAGCATCCACCAAAACCTTCAAATCCATTTCTACTAATTACATTTCATGATTAAATAGCAATTACAAGCATTTGAGAAACAAACACTATCAATTGTGCATGCAAGAGCCAAAACCATGAACTCTGCTTATGGAGCTGGCCAGCAGTTTAATTAGTAGCACTAATTTTTTAAGGCAATGAACCCGAGAAGCCCTCGTTCGCGCATGCTCCGTCTCGATCATGTTATGATTCTTTATCTCTTCTATTCGAGACGAGAAATGAAATAGAATATTGGCATGTGCGAGAGATATATTCATAAACCTAAAACCGTATTTCCCCGGGGCCAACTCTTTTTGGTTGACGAACAAAATGCACATGGACCTCCAGAGGTGCAAAATTTATAATCCGCCTCCCACCTCGTTTACCAACTTTAAGAACCTTGCCAATCAATCATCTTCCTCTCTCTGGGTTTTTCCTTTTTTTTTTTTTTTTGTGAGGACCTTTTGACCTTTTAAAGGAACCCCAAAAGCTTGACCCTATCTTTTCTTTGCTTTCCAAGTGCGGTGAATCAGATTAATGATAGTGATTTTATCTATTGACAATAACAATAACAATTCGAGAAATGCTAATATTGAGTCAATGATATTCCTGGTTAACTGCACCATATCAAAGCTGAGAATGAATGTATGCATATATAATTGATGATATATTAGTGTTTTGGTTCAAACTAATAAGCTAGTAATTTTGGGTTTAGATGGTCCTTGGCTTAATTATAAGAAGGAAAAAAAGTGAAGTAATTTTTTGTTAAACTGAAAATTACAATAACCATTCCGTCATTCAATTCGATTTTTTAGTAATTTTAATTCGATTTTTGGTTAATCGAATCTAAAAAACTTAAAACAAAAACTAATCTAAATTATTATTATTTTTCAAGTTTAAAAACTGAAATTTTATTTTTTGATTTCAGCTTTTTCAATGTAAACAGTTTTTTTTGAATTTTTTTTAAATAATATAAATACGTAAAAAAACACCATCCATCCATAATATTTATAATAACATTAACACATTGTTTTTATTTTTTTATTTAGCAGTGTTTTAAAACTTAAAGAGATTGAAAAAATCCGTTTTTGATTTAAATTGAATAAAAAATTTCAAAAACTAAAACAAATTTAATTTTTGTATTTGGTTTTATGATTTAAATCAAATAGTGCTCGCTCATAGTTGAAAAAAAAAAAAAAGCTAAGGAATCTGATCCAGCACAAATTAATATATTTGCAGTTTATCTAAAAACACTCCTCAATTCTGCATTTTTATGTGTAATGTGTTGGCTTAGGAATCTTCTATCTGTAATTTCATACAAACTTTTTTCTTTCCAACTGTCATTAGCATTTCTTGCAACATATGATGGGAGTCTCTTAATAATGCAAATCTCTCTCTCCTTTCCTGAAAAAATTGTGATGAACTTTTATTTTTGGTTTACCAGAAAAAATGAGCTTTGGGTTACTTGATTATAACCAATTATAATAATTTACGACTTTAATAATATTCTTTTTGTTGCTTAAATATTTTTGATTTTTAGTCCATTATGCTGATTGTGAGAGAGATGGGCAAAGTTTTTCTCAATATCGGTAAAAACAAAAGGACTAATCCGTTTTCATCACTTTGTTTTCTATGAGCACTGAACTCATAACTTCTTTTTCTTTTTTCTTTTTTCCCAGAGGAATGACCTTTTTACAAGAGGGAAAAAAAGACACCACTTAAATATATGCAAAATAGGTAATATATCATATTTCATGTAACATGTTTATACGGAGCAGCTGATCGTTTTGAGAATTTTCTCTACATTCCACATAAATGTTCAATGTCAATTTACTTTTTAATTTGTATATTTTTTGGGTATAATACTTAGAAAAATTTTAGGTCAATTTTTACGCAAATAAATTATTTAATTTTTTTTTTTCAATCTGATTTGAGACAAAACCCTTCATACTTTGATCAATATATTTTTAAAAATTTCTCTCTCACAATCTCTTTATAGATTTGAAAGCTTAGCTGGAGAAACAATTGACTTTGTTTTTTTTTTTTTTTTATGTTATTATCTTGAATTCAAGTGTAAGGGGAGGTTGGGAGAAGAAAATTCATGTGAATCCAACAATTTTTTAGATGTTGATAAAATAGTTTATTCAATTTTTTTTAATTAATTCAAAGATGAAGTAGATAAACCCCAATTTATATGGTCATTAATAAATCAGTCTCTTGACCATTAAAATCTTGCTAATCAGTTCAATTGGCCTCATTTGACTGCAATCGCATAGTATAGTGTTTATTGAACTGAATTAATAACGTAAGGATTAAATTGAGTAGCAATGGATAGCACAAAAAATCAAATTATGGATTTACCACAAAATAAATACTAAATTTAAGATTTTGAATGAAATTTAATATGGCAAAAAAATAAATTCCCTACGCTAATATATTTTGAGCTCTTAAAATGGATTGCTATATAGTGCTATTTATGTTTACTATTTTTTTTTTTTTTTGATCCCCAAGATATTGAAAGGTTAAAAACTTAAACTAATCTTTCGTTTTTTTATCAATGTACAAAACAGATACAACTATCCGAAGAGTTTTCTACATGCACTAAGCTTAAACTTGAGACTATTTATTTAAACGATTAAAACTCTTTTCACTCAAGTCAATTCCTTTGAATATAAATAAAATATAACAATAAAAACCAAAAAGTCTTCTCGATGTGATGGAGTAAATTATAAATTAGTCCCTCCATAGTTTTATGAAACAAATTAATTAACTCCTTTTGTTTTAAAAACTAATTAATTTCTATCTTTTTATCAAATTTGTTAAAAGATATCTAAAATATCATTTAATATATATTCTCATTCACGAAAATATATTTTGGCGTTTGAGAAGAGAGAAAGTGAATAAAAATTAATAAAATAAGAATTGAAAATTTAGGAAAAAAATGTGAATTTTTTTACTACTTAGGAGAAATAAAAAAAAAATGTGTGAAAATTAACGGAAAAAACTAAGCTATTGACAAAATTAAAAAATAAAAAACAAAAATTTTTGAAATAAAAGAGATGGATTGATTCGAGAGGGACTAATTTATAATTTACTCTTATGTGATGTAAGCTAATGCAAGAATTCGAAGACAAGATGTTGACTCCACAACACCTCAATTCTCACCACACAACCTTTAATAATCCTGAACAGGCCGTAAGTTTAGAAAGATGAATTATAAAATTGATTGCGGTGTTTCACTACATTCAGATTTTTATTTATTACTATGTTTAGTATTTTCTAACATTATTAGAAGATGTATACGTACTAGTCATATTATTAGCATATCTATTTTCAAGGTTTTATTCTAAACAAAATTTCATTATAATTATCTTTAATCTAGGATATTAAAATTGACATGATAAAATTTAATTATAACAAAAAAAATATTAATTTAATATCTCTCTAAAATTGCGAAGCGAGAATAACAAACAATTAATTAAAAGAGTGGAAACAGCATCCCTTTAACTTCATAGGCAATGAAAATATACATCTTTTGTATCTCACCAACAATAACATTCAAATCCCAACTCTACACATTTTTTCTTTGAACAAGAAGAATAGTTCTTACGAAAATTACAAGTGTAGCATGGTAGACATTTCTCTGATCCCCGACAGCCTTGATTTATTGATTCTGCTTCTCCTAGCCTTTATCAAAGCTGCTGCGTATAATCAGGCAATCTAAATGGATTTTTTTTTTTGGAGTGGCAATTAATTGGATGACTTTCTAAAACAATATATGTAAGTACAGAAATGTAACTGATATTTTTTACTTTTTAATAAGGGGGAAAAAAAAACTCTCCAACAGTTAATGATTTTGTGATCAATTTAGAAGCAACAGGGGAAAAAGAAAAATGGAAAAAACAATGGGATTCATTTTCAAGAGAATAGAGTTAGAAACAGATGATGGTGGAGGGTTATAATAATAGAATGGAAAGTAAGGAAGTATAGGGTTTGGTGGCGGAGGCGCTGGATAGTTACCGTAGTTTGGCGGCGGATAAAATTCACCAACATCAGCAGGGGGTGGTGGAGAGGAGTACTCATACGTAGGCACTGAATTAGGTGGCGGTGGCGAGTAGTAATATGGGCCTGAACTTGGCATCGATGGTGGCGGTGGGCAGTCTGAGACAGCGGCAGGCGGCGGCGGAGATGGCGGTGGTGGAGAAGTAGAGACAGGGGGTGGTGGGGGAGGAGATGGCAGGGGTTGACATGGATTGTCACAGGCAGAGCACATTGTACATTGTATTTGGTCCTTAGAAACTCCTGTCATGTTCGACGTGGTTAATGAAAAGTAATTAGTGTACAAAATGAGGAGAATTAAGAATGCTAATGATAGGGTGTTGGGGTTACTCATTTTAATTTCTAATAGGATCCTCAGAAACTGCTGTTATTGTTGATCAGGATTTTTTTAGCAAGGGAAAAGAATTGGGAGAACTGGGGATGAGAATTGGGAAGAGAGGTACTGAAAACAATTGGTGGTATTTGTAATTAATGAAGAAGGGAGTGCCCATGTGTGTTGGTGAATGCACCATGCCCTGTTTTTTATCTTCTACGCCACCATTATCAAAAGATGAAGTGGGGTAAAAAAAAAAAAATTAAAAAAGGGAGCCCTTATTACGTCCATATTTTGAGTCATCCACTGGGGTTGCAATATTAGAGTGCAAAATGGAACCGAGGCTGGTTCAACCCGTCCCATGTGCCCTCCTTCTATACAAATAACAATGGCTCTAGAAGAATATCATTGTGACAGCGCAATGGTAGAGGCATGGAAAAAAATATTCCAAGTTCATCCGTTCAAATTGCAGGTTATGATATTTTTTTGCCATTATATAAAAATAAGTAGAAAATAACTTCATTATATTCCAGGGTCTTAAATATATACGTACGACATGCATGTATATTATTAAACAAATACAGAGGATGGGAAACAGAGAAATCCTTCACAGAATCGACTGCCAAGCACTAAGCCGTTTTCTTCCTCTTTTAGATAAGCAGTTCCAGGATCAGCTACTTTGTTGGATGGAATTTGCTCTCCTCTGCATTCTAGCTGCCTAAGAGATTGACTTCTAGAAGAACTCTACGAAAGCGAGCGAAAGAGAAATGCTGAGAAAAATAGGCTGCAGCTTCAGATGAACAGAGTTGAAAGAGAGAGAAAAGCTGGTGGGTTGTTATTGTCAAATGGAAAGTAAGGCACTGAATTATTCCCGTAGCCTGGTGGCCCATAAAAGGAATCACCAGTAGGCGGCCCATGCGACTGATTAGGCGGTAGCACAGGCGGAATTGGTGTCGGTGGTGTTAGGCAAGCAGGGCACTCATTGTTAGGAGTTGGTGGCGGCGGTGGACACTCAGGAAGAGCTGGTGGCGGGGGCGGCGGTGGAGAAGGTGGGGGAGGAGGTGGTGGACATTCAGGGAGAGCAGGTGGTGGTGATGGTGGAGGCGATGGTGAGGGCTGACAAGGATTGTCACAGGAATAGCACATTGTGCATGGTAATTGTTCTTTAGAAACTTCAGTAATTGTTGATGATGATAAGAAGTTGAGTCCGAGGATAGTGAGAAGGGTAAGCAGAATTCTAATGGGGTCTGCCATTTCTACCTTCTAAAACTAAAGTAAAGAGTACTCAAAGATGAAGGCCAGAGATAAGAGAAATGTAGCAGACCATGAAGTTTAATAGCGTCCTGATAGATGCAGCAAGTGTATTGGCGACCACACCATCTTTGTTTGTATTATCGTCAAGAATGAAAATTAGAATTTGTATACAGGAACGTGGTCCTTGTGTGAGCGTTTTATCGATCACATCACCTTTGTTTGGCAGCCTATCAATATCAGTTGCAGAAATTTACACAACGGTATATTCATTTGTGAGGATAGAACAATTTACACCAGCAAAGTGGTAGATAAGACTAGAAACCGGCGGTCTTGCCATTAATTTAGTAAGCAGGAAGTCCGATATTGAAAAATTGTAGTCTTTCCTTTTCTCTAACTTTTACCAGCCCGGACGATTCAAAATTGTAATGTTTCTTACGGAACTTGCAGAAGAAATGGGATCGAGGGTCACCTTGGTAGTTTGTTGAGAAGCCTCTGGATAACTAACCTTTGTTTCAGAAAAAAACAAAAAAAACAGGCAGCAAATCATTGTCAGATAAATTATTACACTGAACTCTTATTCCATGTGAATTATATCAGTCATATTATAGTAATCCATTCCAATAACCTAAATACCGTATTAGCTGATCAAATCGTTTTGTTTCATATAAACTCGCAACCCACCCTTTGGAAAACCAGAACAGCTCAATTAATACTTGCTACATCAGACCTTAATACCTTCTAGTTTTGACATATTGTAAATCATACCAATGTGATCAGTTAGTCCAAGGCCAAAATTCAAGTTAAAATTTCTTAACCAAACCTAACACTATTGAGGGATATCCTCTTATTTGTATTATATTGCATGCATAATTTCAATTCCGAAGCAAATGACAGGATTTAATTACTGAGTCAAATATAAAAAGAAACTAACATTTGATTGAAATTTGACACAATTCAAAACCAAGTGGATTTACGTGTTGTACAACTTTAAAGAAGGTCTAAAACAGCGACTCAATTCTACTGGAACAATTAAGTACTCATTGATCTCCGTCTCAAAAGGTCAAAACCACTCTCCACGAAGCTCTCTTAAAACCCGACCGTGTGGTGTATCAGGATCACCACGCATAGCATTCTCCATCCAAATCCTTCGAGCTCTCTCGAGTGCCTGCTCAGCCGTGTCAAGCTGCTCTGGCCTCCACCCAATTATCACGTCTCCACCACCACTCAAAAGTTCTTCATTAGCAGTACCATCTGAAGCCCTTGTTATCGGCTTTCTAGTATCCGCCACCTGGATTTCTGATAAAGGCGACGCCTTGTGATGCCTGAAATATTCTCTGTCATCTTCTACTCCTTCTCTAGTGCTTCTCTCATCCTTTGGCCATGGTGTGCCATCAAGTCCAGCGCAGCTAACTTCTTCTAGTGCCAACGTTGAGTTCTTTGGCCTTTGTTGGACGATGGGTTCTGCTGGATTGAGAACTCCAGTATTTTCCAGCCTAGGAGTAGACACGTGTGGAGGTTTGGGTGGTGCCAATGGTTCGGTATCTCTATTGGGTCTGTGTTCTGCTTCTGTTTGTTGCTTTCCCGTTTCAGGCTCGTACTTTTCTATCACTTCCTGCAACATATACATAAATTGATCTCTATGAATATCATTTTTCACTGATAAATCAAATGACTTCTATAAAAGATGGAAGGGACAGAAAATCTTACTTCGGGTTTTCCAGTGGGAACAGCAGGTTGATTTTCATGTTCACGGTCAGCGTAAACCTCAGGATCAGCAGGGCGACCAGTTGGTTCTGTAGCAAATCCCCGAAGTCGAGCTTGATTATAGGCTAAAGAGAGGGATCTATACGATCTTGTTGCGGTTGCAGCTAGTCTTGACTGAATCATTTTCAAATTCGCTTTCTAATGCTTGAATTATGCAGTCAGTCCTTCCGTTTCGAAGTTCAGAACCAAGAATATAGCCAAGTTCCAACCAAGAAAAAGAAGCGAGGAGGATTTTCCAGAGAAGAGAAGAGGTTCTGTGGAGACACGTGTCCGAAAGTATTGACGTGGCACTAGCATGTCGTACCTTGCTGTATTTTACGTGTCGCCTTTTATGGTCGCTTTTTCTCTGTATATCCATCGTGGGAGAGGCACCTGGAAGCAGGCAGAAGTTTCTTCCTGCTTCTGGCACTTAAGGAAATAAGGCATCAACTCGAATTCTCTGGCAGAATTGGGGTCGATCCAATCCCCTAGGGGTAGCTTTAGCGTGTCAAAAAGGAGAGACCAATGAATGATAAAAAAGCCTGGGCGTCCCCACATAACCATGTTGGGTCCTTAGCGTGTCTTTGATGGACCTATACATGAGTACCTCCGAATGCACAGAGGACGTTGAATTTAACATTGAGAGTGCCTTGAGCAATTTGTTCAATTTTGCCGATAATTAACGAGATCTCTGGCCTAACCTAGCTCCTAATAAAATACATTATCTAATATGAATTTGTAAATGAAATTTGGCATTAGTTGAGTGTGACATAGTTTATGTTCCACAAAATTCAATAAAAAAACCAATCAATAGCTAAATTTTTGATTGATCACATTCTATAGACCTTATAGAGCATGACAATGATGCTCTGATAGTGAAACTAACATCATGAAAGTTATTTTTTGATGGATCATTTACTAGTTAACACTCTGAAATAGGTGCCTTACTACAGTCACCAAATTGATTAATCACTAAAATAGCATTTCAATTGTAAGGCATACACAATACGACAAAATATGAAGCCCAAATTGTAGGATTAAAAAGTCTATTAAACATGAAGGTCGGGATTGTAGAAGTAATTGGAGACTCACAACTAGTTATAAACCCGAAAGATACAAATGATAAAGTATAAGTTTGCAACCATGTTGGAAGCGACCAAATTATTTATTCCAATAGTTTGATAGCAATAAAATGTATCATATTCAAAGAGAACATAATTAAGCTACTAATGATCTTGCTCAATTAGCTTTTAGATACCAATGTCCAAAATGGATACTCAAAGAAGTGGCTTGTATGCTAGAAAAATTCCCTTTCAACGTGCCATAAAAGGAAAGAATCCTGGCAAATCAATCTGCTAGACACGTAGGGGAAGAGGATTGAAGGCAACCCGTCAAGTAGTATTTGACAAATCCATAGAATTCTTTAAGGATAAAACTCTCAAATTTAAAACTTTGAATTACACACTACTCAATGATGAAGTATGCAAAAGAGGCAAGTTTGGTCTCTTGATAAAATGTATCAATATAGATAAAACTATTAGATTCATGGCTAAAGTGCATTCGGGGATGTGTGGTTCACATCTAACAACCATTAAGATGATGGAAGTAATTAAAAAAAAAGGGTTTTTATTGGCCTAAAATGAAAAAAATACCATGAAGCATTGGCAAAAGGATGTAAACCTTGTTAAAAACACAAAAATCTCCCTAGAGTACTGCTTGTAGAGTTACATTCCATAATCAAACTATGGCTTTTTAGAGGATGGGCTATGGATTTAATTGGAGAAATACATCCCCATTCTAGCAAAAACCATGCTTATATCTTAGTGGCTACAAACCATCTTACCAAATGAGTGAAAGCTAGACTATTAAGGAATGTTATAAAAGTAAAAGTGATTAAATTTATATATAAAAAAAGAGATAATTGTACGATTTAGAATTCTTGAATCAATAACTACGGATCAAGCTATCGCATTTAATGGAAGAGGAATCATAGAGTTTGCACAAGATATGAGATTCAAAATCATTAATTCCAATCCTTATTATATGTAGGCCAATTGTTAGGTTGAATCTACAAACAAGGACATTGAAGCCAATATATAAAAAATAATTAACAATAACCTAAGAGATTGACATTTATTTTTATAGATATATTAAGGGTATATAGAATTACACCAAGCAAGGTAAGCGGCACCACTCCATATGCGTTAACTTATGAGCATGAAGCAATATTTCCTTATAAAATGGTGAAATCCTTAAAGTGGCATATCGGAATTAATTCATAGGAACTTAATACCAAAAAACGATGATGAAAGAGCTAGATGGCATTAATCAATGCATAATGAAAGCTCTAACTAGTATGCAAGTGCGAAAATAATAAGTAGCTAAAGCATACAATAAAAGAGTAAAAGCTAAAACATTCCAACCAAGAGAATTAGTTTGAAAGATAATTTTATCTCCTAGATTAAAGGATAGACATTTAGGAAAATCGTCCTCAACATGAAAAAGACAATTTCAAATATGCAAGACATACTTTGGTAAAGCTTATTTGTTACAAATTTTATCCGAAGAGCCTCATAGGAAAGCCATCTATGAAAAATATCTAAAGAGATATAGCCTATTTCTATTTGGGAAACTAATAAAGAGGCTCTAAAAGAAAAATATCTAGATCTCTAGAATCAATTTCAGTTGCAATCCCGGATGCTAGATTAAAATACACACATAAAAAAAGGACACATGTATATAAATAAACAAAATTTTCTTGTCAAAAGGCTAAGGATTATAATCCAAAATGTTTTTTAAACACTACAAAGAAGAAACTATAGAAATAGGTAAGCTAGAAGATGAAAGAATGACCTTTATTCTTGCTTTCATCTACTCAATGATCTAAATAGCCTTATGGATACCTTTTTCTTTAACTCGAATAGAAGTTTTAGCGAACTTGCGAGATAAGTGCGAAGAAAAGATATTTTTACCTTTAGTGATTGTAGATCCCTTTCCAATTATGAATGGAGGTCTAAAGCTGAATCCAAGGCTTGAGTGACATTAGAAATAGAAGGCACATGACCTTTAGATATCTTGAACGAAGGTATCTTTGAAAGATCTCAAGTTTATCTTGAAAGAGCCACATGACCTTTGGATAGTTTCAGTTTTACCAACTTCAAAATATGAGTAATAGAAGTTAGGAAAAACCACTCAAATGACAAAAGAGAGCGAATAAAGCCTTTTAGAAAGTCTAAGTAAAAGAAGGAAAGAGTTAGTACATCGGTTGTAAGAATCCAATAAAAAGGTTATAAAGAAAAGAAACTCACGAAACTCAATAGTAGATTGGTATCCTTATTCTTGGCTTTTAGAGGAGACACAAAAGTGCCAACCAAGTCAATTGTAGCATTGGCATTGGTGTCATCCTCAATAGCCCCAATCCCAATCCTAATGGTAGGCTTTGGAGTCATTTTTTATGTGGGTTACAGACCTCGGTTTCATCTATAACCTTTGGAGTCACAATCTCCATTATAGGATCCCGAAATCACATTTTAAAAAAGTTAAAAGGATGCCCACCACTTGAACCTCAACATCTAGAAACTCATTTCTTGCTTTAATCTCTATAGTATTTTGGTTTCTTGTTCCTTAATAAGTTAGAGAGATGTTTGATACATCAACCCTTATAGTATTTTGAGATTCCATCCTGACAAAGACTAAAGAGACATGTAAAGACATATGAGATCTATTTACGAGTCTTGATAGAAGATGTTCATACACTATATTAAATTACCTTTAAATGAGCCATTTTAAAAAACTTTACCCTCTAAATAAACACAAAGAATATAAGCATTAGTTGTTAACCATTATAATGATATAATGTAAAAAAAAAAAAAAAAGGATCATAAAAAAGAACTAATTCACCTCTTTCAAAGTAGCGACAATAATACTTTAGAAATCTATAAAAAGATTAGATGCACCTTCTTTTGGCATTTTTGAAAGACGATGTATAAGAGAAGTACTATTCTTAGTGTTTTTAGTGTTAAAAGACCCAAACTGGCATCCATCGGTAAGGTGATCTTGTATTTTTTTGTTTCTTTGTTTAAAAAGTTTGAAGAAAGGGAGTTAGAGCAAAGTCTTTGGTCTCACAAATCCAAAAGGGATGACCTAAAACTCTAAACATTGGCAGCAAAGTAGCCTCTAGATTAGTTTTCTCTATTCGAGTAGAAGTTTTTATCTCGGGATAATAGATACCTAAGTGGGTTTTTATCTTTCTTGTAACATCCGAAGGAAAAGAGGGATCCGTAATAAAACCCGAACATAATAAGATCTTCGATAATATTGCCTAAATGGAAAAGGAATATATAAATAAAAGGGAAAGAAATATACCTTTTGGAGGAGTCTCATAACCCTTGCGAGATAACTTGAAAATTAGGGTCCTGTCTTTGTCTTCTTTATTTCCAAATCTACTAAAAGATTAAAGAGGATTTGGAAGAGGAATGCTCTTAGTCATTTGCTTGATAATTTTTAAAAGAGATTTAGAGAAGGCCTCCTTAAGGATTTTAATTGTACCTTAATGTTAGAAATCCTTAAAACGATGACCCCAAATCATTATGGTCCATTAATAATTGAAAGGATTCGTGTATCTAGATGCTAATTGGCTTTAAGGAAGTTCTAAAATGAAACTATAGAGTTTCACAATCCGTTCAAATAGACATAAAATTTCATCTTCCTTAAGAGACCTCTTATCATGTCTAAGATTGTTATATAATACGAGGAAAGTGATAAAAGTCTTAATAAAGCCAAACTAACTAAGAAAGAGATTTGGAAAATAGGGCACCACTATATTATACTCACTGGAGAAGAGAGAAAGTTCCTTGCAAGTCGGGATAATCTTTTAATAATCCAAGTTATTCTCTTCCAAAGCACTCTATAAACTCGCAAACTTTATACCAATCAAGTTCAAACTGCATAGAATGGAAGGGCACCTAGACGAAGCAATGATATCCTCAAAATAAATATCATAAATACAATCCTTATACTCTGTTTATAGGAAAAGTATAAACATTAAAATAATAGCCATATGTGAGGTAGGCCATTTGGGATTAAAATCTAAAGATCTAGATACTAAATTTAAAAGGTAAGAAGTAGCCCATAACTCAACCAATCACAAACATCAATGGGAAGTTCTTATGAAAAAGGACGGTGATAATAGCTTCAAACTTGTTATGATTGGCATAAGCAAGAAGTAAAGGTGCGAGCATAATGAACTCCACATGATGGAGCATAGGAAAGATCTACCCCTATAAAGGAACAACCAATCAAGGGCATCAAATCGTCTAGAGTGATGGCATATGACCTTTCTTTGTGTGGATACAATTATTGACGAGTGTCTCACAAACCCGAACAACCCCAAAAAGAAAAAGGATTGGGGAAAATGTTATGGTTCACAATCGAGTTGAGTATTTCAAAGACCACTTATGCTTCATAATTTCTTTCAAATGGTAGAATGACTTTGCAAATTAGTGTAGCGGGTAGTAATTTCAAGTTGAGGGTTTGGCCATATTTTGGTAGGATGTTTGGTATAACTCTTAAAGTGATTTTACTTCACGTTTTTTACGACATCGAGCTAATAGTAGGAAAATATGGCCCTCTCATAACGAATGAAATGTCCCAAGAGCCTCTACACTTTTTGAGCATCATCTTTTAATCCATAACCCATAAATAAGAAAGGTCTTAGAGCATTGGGGTGAACAACGGCATGGAAATCAACATAATCCCACAAACCTTAATAAGAGAGGATAACAAAGTGGAATGGACTAAGGAAGGGGGATGAGAAGCAATAAGCTTAAAATGGTAGTTAATTATAAGGCAATCCCGGATATAGAACTTTCGGGATTTGAGAGGAGATTTACTACGAGAAGCTATAAGGAGCGAATGAAAAACTAAAAAGATGTAGGGATTGAAACCCTAGAATTAGTACGAAAACCACTAGAGAGTTTGATTTAGAAATTGATTCAATAGTGGAAAAGTAATCGAGATTTCCTCGTATTTATACATGACAATTAGAGAGATGTGTAGATTTAAAGAACCAGTTGCGAGTGAAGAGACATGCCGAAACGTTGTAAGTGGAGAGACGATAGTTTCGGATATCGATTGCAACATTGGGAATTGAGGAGAAGATGAACAAACGCCAAAGCCTAAAGCAATTATTTCTTTTCGCACGTGAGAATTGATTTCACACGTAACAAGGAGGAGGGCGAGATATTATATCCAAAATTAAATAGGACCTAATAGCCTAACAGAGTTAGTAAAGGCTCACTAAGACTTTAGTTATAAAGCTCATATTAATGGCCCCTAGAAACCCAAAGTCGAGTCCACGATATAAAACCACGAAAAGCCCACGTAAGAAAAAAATCCAAAAGAGTTTTACACTTGAATGACAAAGAGACCGAATACAATTCTTAACGGAATTGCACTATAGATAAAAGACATGGGAGACCAAGTCTTATTTGCACAGAGAGGCTAACTGAATTGAATAATTGGAATCGAAATAAGAGGGACGTGATTATGTTGTAACGAATGAGTGAGAATACCAAAGAACATGGAGCAACTTAAGGAAGGAAGTTATGCGGATCAAGGACATGACCGGTAAAAAAAGATGTAAAAGTAGGAAAGGGCCATAAATACCAACTGCAGACAGCAATCATAGACACACAATTAACAACAAGAAGTACAATACAATTCTTGCAAATTATCAACTTTGTCTTTCACTTCAAACACTTGAAACACAATAAGCTATAGTTTGTAGGTTGTAATCAAATAAGTTGATAGATCGTTCCTAATTCAATTGCTACTTTCGTTGCAACACATGTAAATCATGTCACTTGATATTCAGATTTCTAATTGATCAACAATTCCAGAGTCTGTAAGTCTTTATATTTCTAGTGTTATTATTGTTTGTAAAGATTTTTTATTTAGTATTTAAAGGTTCTAGTTTTCATTTAAATTTGCATTCTATGGTTCTTATACTTTCTACCAAGTTTAATGTAATTAATTATTATGAGAAATAAAAATTAATTTATGTTTTGAGATACTGTTTTCATTAAACATTTATTTAGAAATACTGTTTTCATTAAAATGATTAGGGTTCTACATCTTTGTTCGTCGATTGTCCAGAGAAACCATGTCACGTCTTATCTGTCTTGCTGACACTCGATGGAGCTCTCAAATGATACCTAGCAACAGGAAGTTTTTATTATTTAGAGAGTTGCAATCATTTGGGGATGGACAGACATTTACAATTCGCTAGCAATGAAAGATTGTCTGCTTCCACAGGAACTTGAGTTTTACTGTCAACCGTTTAACCTGCTGAATTTCTTTCAGTGATCCCAAAAAGATGTTGATGGAGCTCCGAGATTAAACAAAAATGAAGGCCGTTAAATGTACAAACCACAATAAGAATCGATTGGTGAAAAGAAATCAATGTTTGTATTCATGTAAGTGCTTGATCATGATTTTGCAATTTTACACGTTGCAATTTCCCCATAAAAAAAACATTGAATATTGATTGGGGTTGAAACTTAAAGACAATCAGAAAGCTACGCAGAAGAAAAATGCTTTCCTTCATCTTATCCTAAGCACAGACCGAGCCACAAGATAAGGCCATCAAGAGTATGGCAGCCTGTTCTTCCTCTCCCAATTTTCTCTTCCAATCTTCCTGAAATATCCCATCTCTTCTAAAACCCATCAAATCTATCTTCAATGAAACTCCTAGCTTACTGTTACTGCTACTTTTAGCTATCTTCTTTCTACTCCTCTTTGCTCCTTTGTCCGAACCAAGAAGAGCCCTCCTCTTCTTCCTCTGTCTGATCCCACATGCATTGCACAGTGTCTGCAAACAAAAGTCTACATTATAATAAAGCTAACCAGAATCACAATACAGAAACTTTATATTTCATAAAGCATATGATTGTTGGAAAATGAATCATATACACACCCTGGGACCAGCCGGACCGCCTCGCCAACATGGGGTTCTTGTAGTTTGGCAATCCATGCATCTTCTTTTGATCTCGTTACACTTGCTTAGATGAGTGTTATCCATGTCCTCTGACTCTGATCCCTGTTTAAATGAAGTAATAATTTAATCAAGCAATAATCATCACCAAATTAAAAATAAAAATAAAAGCTATGGAAGAAGGATGAGATCACTCACTTTCGCATTGAAATCCATGATCATTACAAACAGGGTATGCTAGAGAGTAGAGACTGAAGGCAAGCACTTCAAAATAAGTGCTTTATGAGATGAATTAAGATTCAACAGACATAAGACTGAGAGAAAGATAGAAGAGAGGTGGGTGTATCAATTCAAAAGGTTCCAAAGCAATGAGAGAAATAACATAGAAAAAACATTCTTATTAGGAATTGATGGAGAGCTATAAATGCAGGGAGAGATGTGTGAATAGGTAAAGAAGAGGAGCAAGAAGAAGGGGAATGAGGAACAGGGCAGCGGAAGAGGTTTGCAAATATTATAACAGCTGGCTCGTTCAAGAATCAAGACGCCTAGTTTTTGATTTTGGGGGCTGCGGCGCAAAAACCCTAATTCGAATTTTTTTAATTGACCAAAATACCCATATGTGGTTGATCCGATTCTAGGACGCTTACCTATTTTATTTTTGTTGGAGCGTTTTTAGGATTGAGAACAAAAACTACGATGAGTGGCTCACGATAATAGTTTTAGATTTCTAATAAGAGGTTTACGGTTTAAATTTTATTTATTTATATTTTTTATAAATAATATAAGATTTATATATGTTTTTTTCGATTTTAAGAGTGTAAAAAATTTAAAACTTCTGATTTAAAATTAATCTGTAATCATAAAAAATAGTTGAAAGCTAACCATTTCTTGAGTTATCAAAAAAATAAAAAAAGGTTTAGTCACCGTCTAATTGAAAGATTTTCTTCTCTCATTGCATAGTTGTTTTCCAAATCATTTTCCTTTTTTCGCATTGTTTTACCTTTCGTATAAACTGATATATTAATTATTATTTTCATTATCAAACAATTAATTTAATAATTATGAGATTCATAATTCCTGACTCATCATTATCACATTTGTCTTTTCTGGTATGATTTGTTTATATATACAGAATTTTTTTTTCGTTAAAAAATTTCATGCATCAAATGAGTAGATCCTATTAATAGAAGTTATAAATGCAATAGTTGAAATCTTTTGGAAGATGGTTTGGTGAAGATTTTTTTAGTTAAATTTTTCCCTAATTACCAAAAAGAAAAAGTTTCCCTACAAAGATACAATTTAGTTTCACATTTCAATTCTAGTTTTTTTCTTTTCTTTTTTGGTCAGAGGTTTGAATCTAAAATTAAATAAAAAAAATTTGTAGCAAAAAAAGAAAAAGAAAAAAAAGTTGTAGTTTGCTTGATTTTCCATTAAAATAAAAATTTCACTCTACTCTGTGCAAAAAGAATGGTATCCTTCTGCATTGACCACACAAATTTTCTGTCAGACCCCAAATGCCAAAATTAAGATGTTTGAAGTTCAAATCGTAGACCACAAGATCTAATCGCTGCACATAAGAAATTAAGAATTGAAACTAAGAAATGTCTGAAACTCCAAGGTAATGGGGTAGGTGGACATTTTGGTAAATGGATCATGACAGAGATAGTGGAAGGAACCAGAATTCAAGAGAAGTTGCCCCTCTTGTCTCTTAACAGTTGTAAATGAGCACTGAGGAAAAAAAAAATTACGGTAAAGCTTAAGGTTGCAATTAAAAAGAGATAACGATGGAAGAAGAGACAAAACCCAGCCCACAGATTCTTGGACCAGACACAGACAGACAACCATGCCTTAAAACATTTTTGTCCTCAGCCAGACAAAAGGTAAGGAACATCCTATAACATTGCAATAATCTAAACACCAAACAGAACAAAGATACTAACTAATTTTGCTAATTTTTCTCCATCATTGATGCCTAAATAATTTTTGGCTTTACCAATAATCATCGAATGATTGAGCCATAACATTTAAACTTCACTAGTACTACAAAAAAAAAAAAAAGAACAGACTTTTGAAGGATGACGAGTTCACCAGCATGGCAGAGGGAGGGTGCTGGTTTCAGGCAGAAAACTGCATGCTCCTCGATAACACGGAATCATGTCTGGAACTATTTTATTTAGTTCCACGTTCAGAAATAAAATAAGTGGTAGCGTTGATTAATAGGATATGCAAAATCTTCTTGTAGCCAAGGGACGTCCAAACTCCTGCTGTTGTCCTTTGGTATATTGTGGATAGCAAACTTGGGGACACATTTTTTTGAAATTCAAATTCTGAAGAAACTATGAGGAGTGGTTTTGTCCGAGTTTTTTTTTTTTTTTTTTTTAAAAAAAACAAGGTACTTTTAAATCTTATTTATTGTATTTTTGCCGTTGGAATTAAATCACATGCATATGTTACTTTTTTTAATGCTAAATTGATTAATAATTTTATCAAATTTTAGAAACAAATATCATTTGCAATACACTCATTTCATTAGTTATAATTATCAGATAAAATTAAATACTGATAGATCCAACTCCATAAGCTCATCAACAAGATCCAAAAACAATTGCTTTAGTAAAACCAAAATAAATAAATCTTCAAGAACCAATAACTCTATTAACAATCTCTCAATAAAATCAAAATAAATAAACCTTTAAGAACCAGTAACTCTATTAGCAATCTCTCTTTATAAAAATTAAAATGGCTTAACAACACGTTTTTTTGATGAGTTAGTGGAAGCAAGTCTTTCAATATTTGATTTTATCTAATAATTATAACTAACGAAACAGATATATTGCAAATTTTATTTGTTTCTAAAATTTTGTAAAATTATTAGCATTCAAAATGTATGGACTCTCTTTTGTAATGGAAGAGTACAAGTATTAATTAATGGCTGCAAGATTAAATTAATAGAACGGCCACTGCTTCAACCTTGGCATTATTAATTTACATCAAATCAATAAGCTAAAGTCTCATGATGAGAGTCTTTTGTGCAAAATAAGACATTAGCAGTACTAGTTAGTTATGCACAATTTATTGAGAAAATTAGACGCTTCTTCCATTTAGTGCTTCATCCTAACCTCTGTCCAAGTTTAGAGCAAAGTTCAGCAAGGAAACCGAAGAGAGCACCCAAGAAGCACATTAACCATGACAATATGAACACTGCCCGGTCCTGGAGGTTTTTCTTTGGAAAATGCCCTCTATCTGAGATGAGCAATGCCCGATATACAGCTTCAGCCAAGGCATAGGCTGTAACCGGATCAGATTCTTCGGCCAGAAATCCATACTCTGTGAGGCAAACAATGTCATACACTCCGTTAGTCTCTGATATTCCTAGACGCTCGCATAATCTGAGCCTGATGTCGATCCTCTCCTCAGTTGTTAACAAGTCCCCATGTGTCAGAATCAAGATAGGATTCTCATCTGCTAGAAACATAGAGCCAACTTACATCATTTTGCATATTAGGCATTCCGATATGAAGTTGTTTATTCTTACTTATTGTACTGTCACAAATAGCTCAGAATTTACGATGAATGTACAGTGTAGGCACAACCAAAATACACCAACTACTGTTTCTATGGCCATGTTTTATTCAGAACAGCATGACTATGTTACTTATGTATGATTGAAAAATCAATCAAACAAGGGTAGGATCAGAAATAAATGCTGTACAGAGTATTTAAGCCCTAGATGCAAGCAGGTATCAGCAAGCAAAATGCAGAATGGAATTCGAATTCTTCCGAGTGAAGACTCGGGGGAAAAAAGAAAAGACTTACTGAAACATCATGACTGTTAACTGAAAAGACAATTGCATACTCAAATAGGTTATGAATTGAAAGGTATTCAATATTTGTCAATTTACTCATGGTGGTTAAATGTACTGGAATCAACAGAAAGAAAAAACAAAATCCTCTTTTCAATATGATGTATTATCAAAGACCCTCATCAGCTACAGGAGTCAAAGTTTAGTGCAGATCAATAATTACAATAGCTCTAGTAAGTCCAGTTGCGTCAAGTGCACATGCAAAAAAATTTAAATGTGATGCCTGATGCTTCAGCAGGCCTATGTATACTGATACATTCATAATAATGACAGGAATTAAGAAAATAGCGAAGTTAGTGTTGTCCGAGCTGTCATAATTGAATCTCAAAATGAAAGCACCTTCAATCGAAGAATTGATGGTAAAGAGTAAAGCTTACTGCAATTTCTCAAAGCAGGGGAGTGGAAGAGCTCTGTGGTGGCCTCTAATGGCTTGGAGTCGCTAGCTTTTAAAGCTTTATGGACCTCTGCTATGTTAACCACCACCATTGCAAAATTCACTTTCCTTTGCACAAACTTTGAAGATGACCTCAAACCAACAGTTTCTTCATCATCTTCCAGCAATAAGTCATCACCTGGTCTGAGGCACAGCTGGTTGTGGTGAACACCATCACTCATCAAACTTGACAACTCCTCGAGCGCATCACCAGTTTTACCATAATTAAGCCCTCTAGAATCGTACACACAAAACCCACCTTGCATCGATCTCATTACATTGTGCTCTTCCATGTACATGGTGGTGTATCTGGAAGCACTGCCTACAAATACAAAAATCAAATTAGTTGTAGTGCTGCCAGAAATGTTTCCTACTCCACAGTTGGGTAACTCTTTGGAGTATAAATGCGAACTTTGGCTGTGCTATGCTCTGCACAATAAACTTACCAGACGAAGTTTGAGCAAAAGGTATGAGTCCAGACCGACCAAGAACACTGTACATAAGGTTCACAAGTGAGCTCTTGCCAGAACCAGAGAACCCCACCAGGAGAATGGTGATTACTGGTGGAATGTCCATTTCTTCCTTCTTGATACCTCCTGTGGGCACCCAGAAATCACCTGAACGATACATTTGTAGCTTGTATCTAAGCTCACTGAGTCCTTCATGAGCAATCAAAGCTAGTCTCTCTAACTCTCTAAGAACTCTGAGTCTTGGCGTAAGGCTTGCAATGTTTGGGAGGTCAAGCTGAAGCCTAACGCATTCATCAAACTTTGCTGCTGACCTCCACCAACAGTACCCCAGTCTTAACAATGGGTACTCATCTCCATCATTGGAAGAGATTTGACCCTTCATGTCTCTGGTAACCAACTTCAGCGAAAAAAAAAAAGAAAAAAGGTGACAATAACTTTTATTTATTATTATTATTATTATTATGAGGGCCTTTTGAAACTGAACAATTTGATTTTTCTTCCACAAAGGCTCTCTGTTGCAAAAGAGAGATGCAAATCAAAGGGACAAGGGATCCCAGAAGGCTTGTCCAAATGAGTACTGTTTTGATCACGGGTTGTACACTAGTTGGCTGCCGCAAAAGGGCTACTTCCAGGCTCTTTCTTTCACTTATGAAGCTGCGTGAGAACTGGCATCCCATTTTACCGAAATACCCACGTTTCTGCCGTTCATGATAATCAAAAGACTTGGTGGGTAGGAAGGTGTTTTTAGTCACAATGACCTTGTAATGGTAGGGAATAGGCAGCGTACTGCTACGTCTCGGTGCAAAATGATGTGCAGACAAGGTAAAAGACATTCTATACATGGGAGACGTTCACAGGGTAGACGTTCCTTCTCTTGTCCAATCAACCACGTCGCTTTCAGCCTATTCAGACAAAGGTTTTAGTGCACAATTATTGGTTTCGCACATGCATTTGCCATTTTAAATTCTTGCAATGATTATCCGTCAATAATCGAGCAGCCATGCATGCGAGTAAGGCTACTTAAGAAATTGCACTTGTGTGCATATGTCTGCTAGTGTGTATTAAAACGACCAAAAGCAAAAGGCAACATGAGCGCAGAGCACAAGGGATATCATTTTTCTTTAGAGAAAAGAATACGCAGAAGGATATGATAGACCTCAACAACCAAGAAATAAAGCAATAGGACGGGTGAGATGGTTGGTTATCAGGAGATAACACAACTTTTAACTCATGAAGCAGAAAGCAATAGTAGTAAATTTTATATCATAAATTCTTGTTTTTGTTTCACAGCCAACAAAAATTTCCCCCTCAAAACTGAAAATTGATACATTTTCTTCTAATAGAAAGACAATCTAGAGATTCTAAACTGTTATCAAAAGACTTTAGAAAGAAGAACAAATAGCATGTGTATCCTTCCTATCATTGCTCTAAATTATAGACCAGACAGATGGATGCAAGCCGTTTGAGCAGCTCCATCCTTGTGATATGGTAAAACAGGGCATGACCAAATTATGCCCAAAAAAAAGGAAGAGGAGAAAAAAAAAAAAAGACTCAAAACTTTCTGTAGCTTCCACCAGCAATGGCAATTCTTGGCTTCACCAACCTATTTTATTCAACCTCTGTAACAGAGCATCTCTTCAACCACATCCGCATATGAACCAGAGAAGGATCCAATGGCATGCTACTTCCCTACCCAAAAAAAAAAAAAAAAAGAGAACATTCATCGATTGAACCTGGACTCTCTGCTTCATTCCACCATCGTATTAGGTTGCTGCAAATGTCTGGAACAGAAACAAATTAACCTTTGCCATAAATTAGTGTTTAAAAAAAAGGGGATTAAGGGAACAATCCAAAGACTATGATAAAATTGGAAGAACATAGTAGAATTAAAATAAAAAGTAGAGTTTTAAAAAATGATAATTTCCTCTCTGTAATACTGATGTTTTACGAAATATAAAGAAGCAATCAACAGTAAACATCAAGATTATCTATGGGTGTTTCAAAATTTCTATCGGATATCAAAAACAGATATATAGTTACATGTGAATTCTACTATTGCAGTTAAACATACAGGCAGAAAAGGTTAAGGCCTCCCCAGCATGTGTAGAAGCCACACAAATGGTGGCACATGACAGGTAAATTCAGAACCAACATCCACAAACTTACACATTCCCAATCAACTGATTGGGAAATATAAAAACTTAAATCTGCGTAAAATTATCAACAGAAAGAACAAGCACAAACAAGCAAACCCTAAATAGGAATTGCTCAGCTGGAGGTGAAATGTCAACTGTTCAGGAGGGTTGCCTTTGTGACTTGTAAAGAGAAATAGTGCATAGAACTTACTAACTAGGTGAGAGAAGTTGCATACCTTAACTGAATTTAAATCCATTAGAAGGAACAGGAACTTCGGTCCCCCCAAACTGAAATCCAGATTGGGAAGCATCGCCTGGAGAAAATGCCTCGAAGTCATCACCATCCTCCACCCAATATGTCTCAAGAATCTTCACTGCTTTCTCATATATTTCATTGTTGTCATGACTCTGAAGATTCTCAATCTTTTCTAAACCCTCAACATCTTCAATCATTTGGGCATACAGATTTGCATTTCCTGTGTTGCCCAAGTTCTTTTCAGCTTCCCCAGCCTTTAGAATGTTCTCTAGCCCTTCTAAGCAAACTGTGACAATTCTAGGGTCAGGACAAATCAAAAGATCACATAATGGCTTGATGCACCCCTGGTCCACCAGAAATCTACAATGCACAAATGGATCAAACCTTTTAACATACACATAATCAAAGTAACTAATTGATGGAGAAGAATATAATGAAAGAGAAAAAAAAAATACTTGATTTGTTCATGGCTTCCACCAGATGTTGCATTTGAAACTGCCCAAGCAGCCTCTTTCTTGATCTCAAATTCAGCATTTTGAAGCAATTGGACAAGATGGCCAATAATACCTGCTTCCAGTACAGCCTGCACAGTTTGAAATTGCAAGCCTCATGCAATGCCCATTATGACAAATAGGCAATAAACATCTAATAGAAAGTTGAAAACTTTTTTGGCAGATTATCTGTAGCTGTCCTCAAGAATTCTCACTTAAAAGCAATCAATGGATGTAAATATGTGTTCGATTGTGAAACAAACTGAGGGTATATAAAACAATCATCAACTCGGCATTTTAAAGCAATCGGGCAAGAGGACAAATAACACCAGCCTCAACTACAGCCTGCACGCATCAAGATGCAAACTCAAACAGTGTACATCTTACAAGATGGACTAGAAAACACCACACAAATAGCTGCAACAAACTTTTTGTAGATTCTCGTATCCCTCAAAATATCTCAACTTTATAAAATTCAGGAGATTAGTGACATTATGACACGGTTTAAGGACATAGAAAGCAAATTTCAGCCAAACCAGGGATCCACTAATGACATAAATGGATAGACTGGATCACCTGTATCTGATTTACATTTCCAGCTGTGATGTTTGAGATTGTCCAGCATGCTTCCTTCTTGATGCTCTTCTTGCAATTACTTGTCAGTAAGTTCAAAAGGTATTGGAGAACTTGATGGTTTATCATACACTGGGATCAGGAATAACACAAAGCATTACATCAGTGGCTCAGAAGACAACATATTTCAATTCATGCAATAAAAAGACTTGAATGTTTCATAGATGCCTTTTGTAAGCAGGCAAGTGGGGTATGTTACCCTTATTTAAGCTTTTCAAATCTCTAAAATTCCATTTCTGAATGGGTTCCAATTTTCTTTTCCTGATTAAAATGCAAGATCCTTAATTCTGCTAAGACATAAATGCAGACTTTATTTTAACCCAAAACCACTATTTGTTCAAGCATGTTTCTTTCAGAAAATAGAAACAAAAAGTCACTTCGTAAAAAATCAAGGCACATCTGCACACATCTTAAAAAGAAAGCAAGACATGAATTCCATCACACCATAGGATAACCTCCGAACAAAATTTAGATTACATACCCAATTGAGAGATTCAAAAATAGATTATTTCATAATCTACCTTAGTAGTGAGTTTATACTAATTATTCCACTATACAAATTAAATTTAAGTTTGACTGAAGCGAGTCCACATTGCTGGGGAAAAAAACAATCTGATGTTTTATAAATTTGAAATTTTTTTCAAATCTCAAACCACATTCAAGTTGGTCTCAAGCCAATCAAGACCTTCACTATATAGGAAGTATCACTCAAGTCAAAGACATTTAAAAATAAAAACTAAAAAAAATAAAAAAAGACCACTCCGTACTGTTTGGAATGTCATCTATTAAACAGCTAGTCAAAAGCAGGAAGAGGGTGGTTATGGGTAATAAATACCATAGAAACTTTAGACCCATCGTTATCAATACCCATCAAATCTGAAGGAATGACAAGCATTGCCTTAACCATAAATTATGACAAGTATTGGTTTGTGAACCAGAAAACTATAAGCAACAGCTGAAACATATCCATTGCATGCTATCAGAATGAGTGCAGAACAGCATACCAAGTTGTATATGATAAGTTGTGAACCGTATAGAAAATGTCAGCTAATCTAGAATATAAACCATTAATAAAAGTAAAAATAAAAATAAAAAACAAAAAAAACATGTCCGTCTATATTTTTAACCTGTGAATCTAAAATGACCAAGGTACACCCATTTGCCAAGATCAGCATAATAACAATAGGCAGTTTCAGAGGAATCTATGGTTTGGTTTTAACATAAATAAAACTAAGCCAATTATGAAATCATGACTAAAACTAGGGGAACAGAAATTAAATAGTATGATAAATAGTGTGGGTGTGGGTGCGTTTGTGCCGGGGGGCGCGGTGGGGTGGGTGGGGTTTACTAGAAAAATAAAGGTATATCCAATACCTGAGTCTGCATGTCATCTCCAGTAACAATGTTTCCTACTGTACGTAGAGCAGGGATGAGCACTGTCGGAGATGGATGACTGAACAGAAAATGCACAGAGCATTTCAACTTCACAAGCAAACGCCAGGAAAACAAAAATTGTCTGACACATACGAAGAGCAAACAAAATTTAGAACTCACAGTAAAAGTTCAACAAGACGAGGGCAGACACCAGCATCAATTACAGCTTGGATTTTGTCATTGGATCCATCTGAGAGATATGACAATGCCCAGCATGCATCTGCGAGGACTTCCACATCATTTGAATGTATAAGACGCTCAAGAGTTGGGAGGGCAGGTTTTGTCTGCTCATTGAATTTCAACAGCACATATATTAGCAACAATTAACAAACTGGGGAACAAAGCACTGCAACTGCATTTAAAACAGTCCATCTTAGAGGTCAAACCTGGTCAAATAAAGGTTGGGGCTTGCCCCTGCAGAAGTTCGATAATGTCCAAGTTGCATTTGTTAACATAGAAAGCTTTGCATGTTCATTGAATTGTGCAAGCAAAGGCATCAAAGCCCCATGACCAAGGACTAGATCACGGCATTTTGGTGAGTCACCAGCAACATTTCCTAATGCCCAAACAGCCTATAGTCCCAGAAAAATGTAAGTTGATCATTACCGAACCAATCAAGGAATAATTACGATGGCCCCTAGCAATCACTAAAATGAAAGTAAAATAACGTCCATAAAATGGCAACATCATTTACCTGTTCCCTGACATCCTCGGCTGGAGAACTTAAAAGTTTAACAAAAATTGGGATTGCCCCGTGGTCAATTACAACCCTGGTGTTTTCTGATGTCCCAGAAGCAATATTCGTGAGCGCCCAAGCCGCCTCAAACTAAAAAACAACGTTGAAAAAAAAATACAACACGACAATTAAAAAGAAAAAAAAATCTAAACCGGTAGATATAACAACAACACTAATGATGAAGACTGTCCCAAAACATAAAGTAACATAGAGCGAGCACAAATTCAAACCTGAAGCTGTGGAAAATCATCCCTAACAAGAAACTCAATGAAGCGGGGGACAACCCCTGATTGTATAACTTCATTGATTGGAGGATTGCGTTCTATTGAGAGCAGCTTTCGGAAATGAGTAGTTCCCTCAAACTGCAAATTCTTGTCATCTGACCAAACACCAGCAACCATTGCTGGAAGAGCGTCTAACTGCAATCAGATTAATTTAACAAAACCATCAGCTCCATTTAAAAATAGATTTTTTTAATACTTCTCGGTAAAAAAATATGATTCATGGTCGCTTGCTAAATAATTGATTGATCCAATAAATTATTAAATCAAGAACCAATTCCGTCGAACCATTCACAAAAATTAATGGAAAAAAAGTAAAGAAACATATAATACCGGCTTATCAGAAGCGGGAATGTTAACAGAGGAGTTGAGTTGTTGTTGTTGCAGTTGCTGTTGTTGTTGGGTCTGAAGTCCCTCACGTCGCTTCTTAAGCAAGCTTTCTTCTCTCTTATTCTTTCGGATCTCCACCAGGTTGTCTTCCCTCCTTCTCCGCCCTTCATCTGCATCCACCGCCACCTTGTACTTGTTCCTCCTCGCCTCCACTCTCGCGTTCGGCCTCAACGACATGTCGTTTGGCTTAGCACTGTACTGTACTGTAATGTTGGTGTTACAGTGAGGGAAGCGAAGGGAAAGGAAGAAGGGGAGAATCGTAAAAGAGAGGAATGTGGAGGGGGTTTTCGGATTTTTATTTGAATAGACTGGAGCCAGAAGGGTGGTGCTATTATAGAGGTTTTTTCAACTACCGGCGCTTGGGAAACAGGGCTTGGATTTTGTTCTTATTAACGGGACTGCCATTGGGTTTTTTGAATTTAAAGGAGAGGGAGTTCTAACGGACCTGCGCCGCCGTCAGTCTTTGTTCCTTTTCTGCCCCTGTGGATAACATTTTATTAATTTTGTCTGCAATAACAAATCAGTGAAAAAAAAATTTGAAATTAAGATGAAATGGATGGATAAAATAATTCAGTTTGAGTAATCTATAATATTTTGCAAATAGATGGGTGGAAATGTATTTGAAGGGAAATGCAGTTTTTTTTTTAATTTAAAAATTTCACCCCAAGTTCGTTATTAAATTCCAATATAGTCTATGCATGCTTCTATTCCATTTCCTTTTACTTTTTTTTTTTTTTTAAAGAAATATGTAAACAAAATGGCCGGAATACTTGTTTACAATAATTATAAATTTCACATTTTTATATTTATGTAATCAACTATTGTTTATTAAAAATTATCGGAAACTATACATGCAAATTACATTTTTATTACACTTTGCACGTGGTTTTAAAACTTACACTTTGCATGATTAGCTTCTTTCTTTTCTTTTTTTTTTTCCTTTTTTTCTCTTTTAATTCTACGATAAAAGTATAAGGGAACAGACTTCCTTCACTACTAAATCAATTCCATGAAGTTACGTAGTTGACTGATAGAGATTAATATTTTTGAATCCTAAATTTGCAGACCAATAGCATTTCACACTTCTTATAAGTAATCCTTTCCGTAAAAATTTTTTATACTATTGCAAAAATATTACTGCTTTAGTAAGGAATTTAAAAGAAAAAACATACATTATTTTTTAATCCTAACAAGTTTCGATTTTGTCAAAGAGTCTTATGATTACTTTAAAACTTGGGCTTATATAAAGGTCTACATGAAATGGATATTAAGGATATTTTTGTCAATTTTACTTTTTATTAACGAATACCTTAATATCGTAAAACAAATATATCGAAAATTTAAAAAATGCAAAATGTAAAAAGAATGCAAATCAAATATTTGGTTTTTTAGAAATTTTAATTTTGTAATCTGTCAGATATTATAATTCAATCATATTACTTATAATGGACATGAATTATTTTTAATATAATCCTCGATTTTCTTACTGGTTTTGAGTACTATTGTAGATCGTGAAATCTAATTATTTTACTATACATAATTAATAGAAAATACAACACATGTGGATGTTATGGTAAGATTTAAATCATGTTATATTTGTGATTCATTTACTTTTGTGGGCGATTATTATAGACTAGGTGATAAGTTATTATTAATAAAGAAAAATAATATTTGAATTTCAACATATCTATCCGAAAGCAATTGCATGTCTGCCATGCGATAAGATTATCATTATTTTTTAATAAAGATGTGAAATGTACAATACTTAGATTCTAAATGATAAGATGTTAATAGTTTTTTTTTAATTATTTTTTTAGAGGAGTTAATAGTTGAAACAATAATTTATATGCACTAGCTTGTTAAGATATTTGGACTCCAACTTATAACACATTATGCACCTACATCAATTTGGATCTTTGAAAAAAAAAATTGTTCATGCATATTTAATTTTTTTATGTTTCATTTTGCATTTTAAATTTAATTTTATGATTTTATCCTATAATATTGTGATTTGTGGATAGAGATTTATTAATTCCATGTTTTATCATTTTAAAATATGATTTTACATATTTTATTAACTCTCTCTCTCTCTCTCTCTCTCTCTCTCTCTCTCTCTCTCTCTCTCTCTCTCTCTCTCTCTCTCTCTCTCTCTTATATATATATATATATATATATATATATATATAACTAACCTTCAATCAATCAGATTCAATAGAAAAGTAAATGATGATTCTAAATAGGCTAGATGGGTCAAACCTCTCTTGAACTTTACTTCAATTGAAATAAAGTCTTTGAATTTCAAATTTGGTTTTATAAATTTTTCAATTTTAAAATTTTTAAGATGTAATCCATTGATTAGTTTTTCATAAAAAATAACGGAAAGCTAACATTTATTCATTCAAAGTCTCTAAAACAAAAACAAAAACAAAATCCATCACCCATTTCTCACTCTTAAATAAAAAAATCAATAAGTTATAAAGAAAAAAATCAAGACCTTAGCAATAAAGCAATGAATCCTCAACAACAACAATAAAATCCAATAGATTCACTACCCCTCTTCCCTATGACAAAATCACCACCACTCATAACCACCCACTACCACTCTTATTCCTACCTCTAGCACTTGTCGCAACAAGATCGGTGTTTTCATCGACTTTTCGATGAATTTGATCACATTGTCCACTTGATCGTCCATCACTAATGGCAAAGCAATGAATCCTCAACAAACAACAACAACAATAAAACCCGAGTATATCTAAAGTACTTATAACTTTCAACAATCAAGGTCCACCACCCCTCTTCCGCTTGCCAACATCACCCCAACTCTTTGTGTAATTTGAAGTTTTTTTTCCTTTTTATAATTGGTGGGATTTTGAATTAAAGGTCTAATAATTTTAACAAGGTTTTGAATTTTGCAAGGTTGTAATTTTTTTTTGTTTAAAAATTTTTAGGTTAGAAGATTTGTATTTAGTTTGGCTACATCTTAAAATGTCCATTTGTGTTTGAAAATTTCGAGGGAATGAATGAGTGATAGGGATTGAAGACACTCCCAGTTTTGGATGTTTTTGAGATAGACAAAGATCACGTGAGGGAGTGTATGAATATTTATTGGAACACATACTAGTTCAATTACTCGAATAAAGTCAACTCCTTTTTGTATAATAAAAATAAGATAATAATAAAATATTAACAAGAGCAAGCACATAAGATATCAAAAAATTTTACGTGAAAAACTCCGTCTAAATGAAGGAGAAAACCATTAAACCATAGTCTACTAAAAGCTTTCACTATATCAAATAATAAGATTACAATAAGATCTCACCAATATAGTGGCTTCCCATGATTGACTCGATCACTAAGTAGAGCACTCTGTACGAAATTAGTATTCTAAAATTTCATCCTAATTGGGCTTAAATCACTATCCGATTGAAGCTTACAAGATGAACGGCTCATACTAAAAAAATCTTATTTTTCTTGACCTCTTTTTATATTTTGCCCTCACTCTTACCTTTTTTCTTTCACCCTCTCCAATGCCTTTTCCATCCGTCATTCACTCAAAATAAATGTATGAATATTTGTTGGTACGGGAATGAAAACTTTATTTTCAACAAAAGCTGCATTATCTTAAGTTGGACCTTTCAACAATAATTATGCATGCATTTCCATATTTTTTGCATGTATTAATCTATGTCATACCAAGTTTCTTTATATAAAGACTAAGCTTCTCGGTAGACAAAATGTTTGTCATCATATCCGATCCATTATCATCGGTATGAATTTTCTCATGCTAGAACATTTTTAACTCTAAAACATCATAAATCCAATGACATCTCACATCAATGTGGTTGGATTTCGAAGGAAATGTTGGGTTATTGCTTGAGATGGATTACATTTTGGTTGTCACAATAAAGAACAAGCTTTTCTTGTTAGAAGCCTAACTCTTGTAAGAACATTTTCATCCATAATAATATTATGGTTGCTTCTATTGTCGTAATATACTCGTTTACGTGCTAGATAAGGAAACACATTTCTATAACTTTGATTGCCATGAAACGGCTCCTCCTGTAAAAGTCATCATATATTGTGATGTAGATCTTGTGGAATCAATATCATTTGTCATAACTGCATCTCTCGTATCCATCTAACACAAGTTTATCGCCATTAAAATATAAGCACATGTTGGAAGTTCCTTTTAGATACCTCAATATTCACTTTACTATTTCTCAATACCCTTTTTTTTTTATGTAGAGAGAAATCGACTTACAACACCACTTACATGAGCAATGTTTGACTTTATACATACCCAACTTTTGTAAGAACATTTTCATCCATAATAATATTATGGTTGCTTCTATTGCTTGTAATATACTCCATTTACGTGCTAGATAAGGAAACACATTTCTACAACTTTGATTGCCATGAAACGACTCCTCCTGTAAAAGTCATCATATATTGTGATATAGATATTGTGGAATCAATATCATTTGTCATATATGCATCTCCGTATCCATCTAACACAAGTTTATCGGCATCAAAATATGAGCATATTTTGAAAGTTACTTTTAGATACCTCGATATTAACTTTACTATTTCTCAATATCCTTTTTTTTATGTAGAGAGAAACCGACTTACAACACCAATTGCATGAGTAATGTCCGACTTTATACATATCATTACATATAAAGTTAAATACAGTTCATACTCATGTGCTATATCAAAAATATTGTTGCAATCCCTCTACTCGGATATAGTTCATAACAAATCTTATACTACTCGGACGTTGGTGCAAAATAGTCCATCCGTTAATTTTTTATGTCGGATTGACTAATTTTTGTTACTTAGCTAACGTTTGACCAATCAAGTGAGATACGTGTCAACTTAAAAGTAAAAATACAATTTTCTTTTAAAATTAATTTTTTAAAAGTTAAAATGATTAATAATTATTAAAACTTGGAAAAAATTCTAAATAAAAATTTTAAAATAATAAAAAAAATTACTTTTTAATTTTTTAAAAAATATATGTCAAATTATTTTCCAATTTTTAATTATTTTATAATAATTATTAATAATTTTTAAAATTTTAAATATATAAAATAATTATTAATAAAAAATTTTAAAAATAAAGAAAATTTTAATTATTTTATAATGATTATTAATTATTTTAATAAAAAAAACAGATGATTAATTTTTTCATTTCTTTTGGAAAACCTTTCTTTAGATTTTAAATTGATTTTAGAATGATTATTGATTATTTTAATAAAAGCATTTATTATTAAAATTTTCAATTTTTTTAAATTTCTTTAGATTTTTTAAATTTTACTTATCATTAATAATTATGAAATTATTAAAATTTTAAAAAATAATTTCTTTAGATTTTTTAAAATTTATTTAATAATTATTATTAGAAATTAAAAAATGATTATTTTGAATTTTTTATTCATATTTTTTCAATTTGTAATGATTTTATAATAATTATTAATTATTTTAAGTTTTTAAAAATTTTAAAAAAACTGATTTTAAAAATTATATTTTTATTTTTAAGTTGATACATCTCGCTACTTGACTCGGTCAAACTTAGTCAACTAATAAAAATTAATCAATATGATAGAAAAGGTTAACAAAGGAGCTTTTTTATACCAAAGTCCGATATTATAAGGTTTGTTATAAATTATATCTCAATAGAGGTGTTGCAATAATATTTTTGATATAGTATAGGGACACGAGATGTATTTAACTCATTGCATATATCAAGCTTCCAACCACCGATGTGTAAGAAATCTTTTTCAACTCTTCTCTTCCTTATGCACTTGTAAGACTTTATTTGGAGCTTTGCTTAAAATGACCTGTAAGTGGAGAATTGATCGATTAGGCTTTGCTCATGTTGAACTTTTCTAACACCTTTTCAACATATCTCTTCTAAAATAACCAAAGTTTTTCATTTTTCTTATCACGAGTGATTCCCATACCAAGGATTTGTTTCATCGATTCCAAATCCTTCACAAGCAAAAACCTTGCATAAATCTCTTTTCAAACTTTGAATTTTCTAAAGATTATAACCAATGATCGACATATCATCAACATATAACAAGAGCATTATAAAGGTACCATCAAGAAATTTCTTTATGAATATGCGAGAGATCAACAATGGTTCTCGGTTCATCGATGATTCCTCATGAATGAATCAAAATTCTTGTACCACTTGTCTTGGAGCATGTTTCAACTCTTTTTTCAAACTCTGAATTTTTCAAAGATTATAATCAATGATCTACATATCATTAACGAGATAGCAAAAGAATTATAAAGTCATTATCGATTTTTTTTTTTATAAATACGCGAGTGATCAACAATGATTCTATTGTACTTATGATTTATCATGAATGAATCAAACTTCTTGTACCACTACCTTGGAGCTCGTTTCAACAATACAGGCTCTTATTCAACTTACAAACTAGTTGCTTTTTGCCTTTTGCTTCAAATCCTTCAAGTTATTTTATGTAGATCTCTTCATCTAAATCACAATGGAGAAAGATAGTTTTCATATCAAGTTGTTCGATCTCTAGGTTCATGCTAACAACTATACCAAACACCATTTTGATTAAAGACATCTTGACAACAAGCGAGAAGATTTCTTCAAAATCAATACCGTTTTTATTTTTTTTGAATCCTTTCACAACCGAGTCTTGCCTTGTACATTGGTTGTGATTTGCTTTGTTAGGGTAGGAATACACACTAGCTCACTTTTTTGAATGAACTCAACTCCTTTTTTGTGTAATAAAAATAAACTATGAACAAGAGCAAGCATATAAGGCACTGGAAATTTTATGTGGAAAACTCTCGCTCCGAATGAAAGAAAAGAAAAAAAAAAAAACCAACAGGATCGTAGCCCATTAAAAACTTTTACTATATCAAATATTGAGATTACAATAGGATCTCACCAACACAGTGACTTTTCTATGATCAAATATGATCACTAAGTAGAGCAGTGTGCAGGATCAATATCCCAAAATTTCGTCTCAATCGAACTTAAGATCGCCATCCAATTGAGGCTCACAAGATGAGCAACTCACACTAAAAAACTTCCCTATTTTTCTCGACATCTCCTTGTATTTTTCTTTCACTCTTCCCTCTTTTCTCTCACCCTCTGCGGTGTCTTTTTCCTCTGTCACTCTCTCAAAACAAATGAATGGCCCAAGCCTATTTATAGCCATTTGCTAGTGCAGAAATGAAAACTTCATTTTCAAAAACTGTACCGTCCCGGCTGCAACTTTCAACAATAGTTGTGCATGCATTCTCATAGTTTTTGCTTGCATTAATTTGCATTTGTCAGCAAATGCAGCAACACTTCTGTTTTTTTTTTTTTCAAAGGTAGAGGGTCCCACTCATATGGCGTAACCTTATAATATTAGTATTTTCTTATTTTTAACGAAAAACTAAGGAATGAATTAAATTTCAAAAAGTTTAAAATTTAAGAATTTTAAAAATTAAATTTGAAGTTCAAGAATTCAGTTTCAAATTAAATAAAGTTGGAAAAAATGTTTTCATTTAATCTTTTAAGTATTATAGGTTGGTTGAGAATATATTAAAAACTTGTCTTTCCCTAACCGTCACTATTTGGAAACTCTCACCAGATGGAGTAAATTATAACACAATCCTTTAGTATATCAAAATCAATTAATTATCCCATACAATATCAGAAATTAGGAAATTATTTAATAGTTTCATGACCAACGTTACCTTCTAAATAAAGTAATTGTTTGAGATGCCTTATTTTCTTATTAAATTCAACCACCTTCCCTGATTTTCCTATTTTTTTTTACAGTGTTCAAAAATAAAAAACAAAATTAATTAGAACATAACATGAAATAAATTGTTTGAAACCACAAGGACACCAAGTTATGATTTCGGGAGATGTGGAACATGCATACGGGTTGGATTGACGAATTGAAAGGGGCCCAAGTTCGACCCGAATTAAGCCCATGCAAGTTACAAAACACGAGCGCTCCAGTATGACTAACCGGTAGAGCACAGAAAAGCCAAACCGGAGAATCAAAAGAACAGAAGATAAGAGAGTGAGTCCCAAGTAAAGGTAATGGAGCACAAGCTATCCTCAGCGGCGACGACCTTTACTCCTTCACCAATTCAAGAACTCTCCCATTTAGCTCAGAGAAGCAACGCTATCAACCTCGCAGAAGGTTTCCCTGACTTCCCTGCTCCTTCCCACCTTAAAAACTCTGCAATTTCCGCCATCAATTCTGACTTCAACCAGTACAGGTGGTTGCTCCTTCAATTTCTAAATGAAACTCTTTATTATTTTTTTTTTATGGTTAATTAACTAGTGCCTAGCTGTTTTGTAAATTAAGGCATGTGCAAGGAATTTGTGACCACTTGGCGAAGATTATGAAGGAAATGCATGATTTAGATTTTGATCCTCAGACTGATATAGCTATTTGCTGTGGTCAAACTGAGGCATTTGCAGCTGCTGTATTTGCTAGTACGTTCTGCTCTTTAACTTTTGTAAATTGCAGTAACTTATCCAGATGTTTCTCTTACCAAATTATTGTTTTATTTGGACAGTAACAGACCGGGGCGATGAGGTTGTGCTGTTTGACCCTTCATATGAAACATACGAGGGATGCATTAGGATGGCTGGGGGAATATCTGTAAGATTTATTTATTTATTTTCTTTTAACTATTGGTTTTGAATTATCTTATATTATGTTCAAATAGTTTGGTATGACATTATTGGCAGGTGTACGTTGCTCTTGAACCACCTCATTGGACATTGGATCCAGACAAATTCATCAATTCTTTTACTGCAAGAACAAAAGCTGTAATATTAAACAGGTTAGAATTTCAATTAAAGGGACAAGGTTAGTTTTTTCTTTTTTTGGAAAGGGTTTGTTTCAAAATGGAGTTTCAATTGGCAAATTTTCATTGATCTTGAGTAAAAAAGTTGGTCATATTCTCATAAACTTTTCCTCAAAAGAACCTTCATTTCTTTATAAACAGAAACAAAGTATAAAAACTGTCCGTCTTGCAACCTTGAATGGAATGTTTGTAGCTATAATGAGAATAAGAGCTAACTAGTGAGATAAATAATTTGAAATCTGACGTTGCTAGGACAACTAGTGGCCTAACTGTATGAAATCCAATTGGCAAATGCTTGAACCCAAACTTTGCACATTTGAGTTTCTTTTGGATCACCCAAGAAATTGCTTGATCAATAAGACACTCAGCGTCTATAACTTAGTTGTAACCTGACAATTGAGATTTAGCTATAAAGAAACTCAAATGAAAGTTTAGCATGTTAAATATCTGATTATCTAATTTGTACACCTTTTTTTCCTCCCAAATTATAATACTTTCGGATTAGAGACTTGCTAACATGAAGTGGCACAGCCCTCACAATCCAACTGGCAAAGTTTTCTCTAAAGATGAGCTTGAGATTATTGCTGGAGCTTGCTGCAGATGGGATTGCGTGGCTATAACAGATGAAGTACGATAATCCTTTTACTTACTCCTGGGAAAATTAAGTTGATTGGCTATAGGCTATTCATTAATTACAAGGTGCTACTAATTCCTGCTCCTTCACCATCTCTGTGAAATCATATTTGCAGAGTTCTTTTCAATCTCTTGCATAATTTTTAAGTAACAAAGAAATAACATGTAAAGGGTTTGTATTTCTGGCAATGACTTTTTACCATCTCCCTTCCCTTTCCATAATTATGAGACTAAATTCAAAAAGGTGAAGAGAGCATTGCCTTTTAGGTTTTTATTTTGGCTTGTTGATGATAGTGAATTTGACACTTGTTTGAACAGGTGTGGTTTTGGTTATTATATGAGGCTACAGCATAATATGTCATCTTGATCCTTGTAGACATCTGAACAACTATAATTTGTTGAGGTGTTAAGGTTCTTGAAAAGATTGTAGATGGGGTCAAGAGACTGTTTTCTCATTCAGTGTCAAGCTAAAAATGTTCAAGAGATATGCTAACAATGTATATGACGTTCAATATGTTTAGAAATGTTCAGAAGCTCCTCTTATATTCTCATTATACTATGCTGCTAGTGTTAGTCAAAATGACTGGAAGCAAGAATACATTGTTTCTCCTATGTCAGAAGGATTGATTGTCTCCTGCAGGTATATGAGCATATTACTTATAACAACAAAAAGCATATATCCCTTGCCTCACTTCCAGGAATGCAAGAACGGACTATCATTACATCTTCCTTATCGAAAACTTTCAGTGTCACAGGTCAAATCTGCCATCCTACCCATTTAAGTTATTCTCGGAGTTTGTTCTTGCTGGAAAATCCAATTCTTTATTATGTTTGGGATTAAATACATCTCATTTTATTTATCTTCCTCTATTCTCTCTACAACAGTTTTCAGTTATGTCATAGATTTGCTCTCTTACTTCTGTATGTTGTTTCTTAGGATGGAGAGTGGGATGGGCAATTGCTCCAGCTTTCTTTGCCTCCGCAATAAGAAACATTCATGTTAAAATTACAGATTCTGCTCCAGCACCTTTCCAGGAAGCTGCCTTGACTGCTTTGAAAAGCCCCCCAGAATACTTTGAGAAATTGAGAAGGGTTGGTCCATAAAAGCTTTGACTGTACTTGGTTTTGGGGAAATGAGTGCCAAAAAGGTTTAATTTGAACCAATTGAAAGAGTAGTTCCTTAAAAGCTTCTATTATACCTGGTTTCGGGAAATTGGTTCCCGCAAAAGCTTGGTTTTCAGCAAACGCTATTGAATGGTAGCTTATGAATTTTGCTATTTCTTGAAATTCATCACTGACAAAATATATTTTTGATGATCAGGAATATGAATCAAAAAGAGACTACATTGTGCACTTGATCGCTGGCATTGGTTTTCAGATTAAGTTTAAACCTCAGGGTTCGTTCTTTTTATTTGCAGAGCTTCCTGAAAATTGCCTGCTTTCTGATGTAAGTACCCTCTTCACTCTCCCTTTGTTTTTAGTAATTGCTTTGTGCTTTGTCACTACTTGTAGGCCTCGCATGAGTAGATATTGGTAAGTGGTGTTTGAATGCTTCCTGTGCTGCTCGATGCTTTGAATAACCCTGGTTCCAGTTAGTTCATCCTTCGCCACCTGTTATATTTCCTTTGCAGTGTTAATTCTTCATTTTAATTGTTTCAGGTAGAATATGTCAAGGAATTAATAAAACAAGCAGGGGTGGTGGCAGTACCAGGTTGTGGATTTTTTCACACAAGTTTGTCACCTGAGAAATTATCTCAGGTAGGTTGCAATTATCAGAAGAGATATATCAGGTTTGCTTTCTGTAAAAGCAGTGCTACACTGGCTGCTGCAGCACAAAAACTTACCAAGCTTTCAGATGTCATTGGGTGTGTCATTGCAGGGAACAGTGGATGATGTTTCATGTATCTGAAGTCACGTGCAGGCAGTGTAACTATAGTTATCTAGCGTGAAAAAGATCCTAATAATTTATATTTTAACTAATCAAAACCCTATAAAAGTATTGGTTATGAGGAAGTAAAATTCACCTAATCATAATTGCTTCTTTTTTTTCCCCTGCTTGAGAGGTGAGTTTAGAAGCATCCGTGTCCACGGTACTGGTGGCGGGGGTCCATATATCCACAAAGGAGGGATTGCACAGAATATGTTTTCCTTTCAAGCTTTGAAGTGCTTCCACGCGACAAAGCCACAAAGTGCAGCTGCCAAACCTGCATTTCCTGCAATGGTTGCCTAAGTTGGAGCAGATATCCCGGAAACCATCCCACTTGTCTGGGCTAGCAACCATAGCTCCAACAATAGTATCTGGATTTGGTTGTTTAGAATTGAAGAGCCTATGTGGTGCACCATGATGTGGGGAATGATCCCCAAAGCCTACAAGATAGCTCATGCTATGAGGACTTTTGCCTAGGATGTAATCAATATAACTTGCAAAATCTCGCAAAGCTTCATTTGAGTAAAATTGACATCCGTAACGCCATCCTGATATTAGTTTACCTTCGAGATAATCATTGTATTCCGTAGCTAAGTGTATAAGGACTTCTCGAGAACTGATCAGATGACTATTCGATAGGCCAATCACAAAACAAAGAGCTAGTGTTGTAATTTGTAGAAGCAATGGCTAACTAACCAAGTGGAAATGATGCAAATAGTGAAAAATGTTGGAAGAGAAGTAAATAGTGCTAGCAAATCACAAGTTGAGTAGTTAACTAGTAAGTAGTCAAAGTCCAAACAAATTTGAGTTTTAGGTATTGTCTGATATTTGAGGGTGAGATCTTTGACAAGGAGAGTTAATGGTTTCTTTTGTTAAAGATTAAAAATTTTAAAATTTGAAGTTTTCTAATGCAAAAGTTCTAATATCTTCATAATGATATGATGTTGATATATTATAGTGAAAGAAGATGGTCTTTGATCATTAAGTTCATGTCCGGTCATCTAAGTTTGAATTGCTTTAACTTGCTAACACGATCAGATTTGGCTTGAAGGATTTCGGGTATTTGGGCAGAATTGATTCAACTTGCTAAAAAAGATTAAAATAAGTGACAATTGAGTTTTCTTTTAGTTGACCCAACTCCGAATCCACCAAGTCAATCTCCCTAACGCATCCTAAAAAATAAAGCAAGGACATTAGTCCTATCGGAACATTCATATCTATCCTTGCAATCCATGATCTTATGCAAAATGAGATTCATCCTCGGTTCAATCCATTTATTGTGTAATTTGAGCTCATGTCAAAACCAAGAAAAATAATATGAATTAACATATAATAACAAAATAACTAAGTTATTTAATTAATTTTATGATTAGTCCTATCGAACATTCATATCTATCCTTGCAATCCATGATCTTACACGAATGAGGTTCATCCTTAGTTCAATTCATTTATTGTGTAGTTTGAGCTCATGTCAAAAACCAAGAAAAATAATATGGATTAACATATAATAACAAAATAACTAAGTTATTTAATTAATTTTGTGAAAAAATTAAAGTTATATATTTAACCCATGCACGGACAATCTTATTAGTAGGAGTGTTTATACAATTATGCATAGCGAGACAGAAAAAAAGAAAATAAAAAAATAAAAATATTGCAAAAAAAAAAAAAAGCTAAAAACATAACGTGACAATGATTATGATGGATTTGTCACAGATATTTCAATGTTTGGGAATGGATTTTGACATTAAAGATGGTTTTGACGAGTTTTTGTCAACACCAAGTCTATACAGTCTCCATTGATTTTTCAAATCCAAAAAGGACTCTTTTATATATATATATATATATATATATATATATATATATAGTGAAGAAGATTGTTTTGTAATTTTTAACTATATTTATAAGAAAATTACACGAGATGTCAAAGGAGTTTTTATTACATAATATATACGAGTTTTGTATTTTCTAAGTATTAATTATTAAATATTTGACCAATCTGTAAAAATTTAGTAAAAGAATAAATACTATGTAGTTTAACAATATACGTATGGAAAAACTAAAAGAAAAAACATCTAATTTGGTACGATATGGTCATGTGGGTTACCACTTACCAGAGTGAGTGAAGTCTAACTTGCCCCGGCCGGTATCCGGCCTTGATTCAAGTAGATCCACGCGATGGGGCCCGTTTAAATTGGGTAAAACCCAATGCAACAAGATTGATATACTGGGTACCCTGCGGGTCTAAGCCGAATTTCCAACCAGTGATTTAAACGGAAGCACGGCAGTAGCAATGGCATATATAGCTGATGGCAACTCTTCGGAAGTTCGGATGAAAAACACGACTTGTCCTTCTGGTTTGACTTTTTGCTCGAATCAAATACATTACGAACCTTCAAATGAACACACTAAAACTCATAAATACATTAAATATTGAAATATATATAATAAACTTTCCTCCTGAAAAATAAAACGAATACATAAAATAAAAGAGTCCCCAAAAAAGAGAAAAAAATACATCGTTTCTCCCATACCCCAAAATTAATCTTTTATAAAATTTCCTCTTGAGAACGATTTTGAACGATTTATATATATATATATATATTCTTCTTCTTCTTTTTTTGTAAAAGATTAATTTTTGGATTTGGAGAGAAATTAATTAATCATTTTTTTCGAAAGAAACTAAAATTTCTTTTATTTTTCAAGAGAAAATTTCATTATATATATATATATATATATATATATATATATATATATTTCGATATTTAATATATTTATGAATTGTTATTAGTGTTCATTAGTAATTTTCATTAATCTTCATTATTTACGTGTCTTGAATCTCACTCTCTAGCTTTACTTAAAGATTTGGCTGAAAGGACTGCACCTGATTAGTTGATGAAAGTTTAAAGTGTATCATATCCAGTTTCATAATAGAGTGGCGGATTTGATCAAAAAGCTCAACTAGAGGTACCACACGTGTTTTTTTTGAATCACTGTTCTTCCAGTGAAAAACATTTGCTTCGAGGTTGCTGACGCCGATCGAACACACAAAAACAGAAAAGGGAAAATAATGTCAACTCTGATCGCAGTTACAACAGAATTAGATGAACGAGAACGAGAACCCCTTCTTCACAATCCTTGTTCGCTTTCCAATGAAGAAGATACCGCCGCACCTTCAACCTCATCCTCCGACGCACCACCACAGCCAACTCAACGCCTCCTTTCTCTCGACGTTTTTCGTGGCCTTACCGTCGCAGTAATTAAGCTCAATTTCTCAATTCGATCAACAATTTTTTTTTTCATTTTGTTTTTGATTTAGTTTTTCTACAGCTCATGATTTTAGTTGACGATGCTGGAGGAGCTTTTCCTTGTATTAACCATTCTCCGTGGTTCGGTGTGACGCTTGCCGATTTTGTGATGCCCTTTTTCCTCTTTGTTGTTGGTGTCTCTATCAGTTTAGTTTTTAAGGTAACAAAATTTCTCGACATTCTGATTAAACCACTGCTTCTTTCCTTCATTTTTTTCTAGCTCTGTATTAATTTATTTTATCTCTTGAGTCATAATTAATATTTGTCACCAAGCAGAAAGTATCGAGCAAACCAACAGCTGCAAAGAAAGTCATACTGAGGACTATCAAACTATTTCTTCTGGGGTTGCTGTTGCAAGGTATGTTGCTGTATCGGTAGTGAATTCCTGAAATTGGCATTTTCAGTTTGCTATTTAATAGGCATTTGAACATTTCGTGTGCATTGTGGACAACCGATTCACACAGGCGGGTATTTCCATGGACGCCACGATTTAAGTTACGGAGTTGATGTGAGCAAGATACGCTGGATGGGTGTGCTACAGGTACTTTCTTAAATAAGCAGTCATATTAGGCCCTTTTTTGTTATCGAACTTTTTTTTGCTTGACGTCTATAAAACATTCTTCCGTTAGACCCTCCTGATGCGATGGCATTTTTGTTTCATATTACCTAGAATAGCTATGGCAGCACATGGTTGTATCCCAATTTTCTTGCTGGCATCCTTAGATGCTTAGATCCACAAAACTTGCAGTGGAATTGACTATTGGAATTAGAAATGAAGATGGATTGATTATAGAAGATTATAGGAAACCTGACTCCTTTATGAGTATGCGAATTAGTGGCTCAACATGTGTGAATAAGAGAACTTTGATTTTGTAGAACTTCATTCAGCATAGATATGTATAGCTGGTTCTGCATTATATAACTTAAAAGAATTTCATTGTATGACTGTTAAGCCCATAAGACTTGCTTGTTTTACCTCAATAAATTTGTTTTTAGGTGGTTGGCAAATTCCTAACTGATATGCTGCTGCAGACTTCATGTTCTAGTGCAGTTACTAAATATTGGCATCCTTTTGTTAATTGTAGAGGATATCCATTGGATATCTCTTCGCTGCAATGTCAGAGATCTGGCTTGTGGACGGTATTGCAGTCGACTCATCTATGGCTTTTGTGAAGAAATACTACATTCAATGGTTGGTTTTCCTTTTTAGGATTTATACCATCTCCTGTACTTGTGGTATTCATGTGCAAGCCGACTTGTGACACAGGACAAGAGGGGCTGGCTTGATTGGGGTTGGAAAAGGCTTAATATTTTAGTATTGTATATGGTAGAACACAATTAGTATTCGTGCAGAGATTGAAGTCTGTGACCGGTGCAGGAATCTTGCAACAGTTAAGATTTGAGTGATTGAGAAAAGAAGAGAAAAATGTGAAAGATAAAACCCAGTTAATTTTATCCAGTTTTTCATAAGCGATCACATCTAGATAAGAGGGCAATAAAGAGCATCGTAGTGCTGCAATTCTTTATATTACTATCCCTCTCAGTCTGAACTAAAGTTTATAGATTATCCATGTAATCCTAGACAGAAAAATCTGAATGCAGATAGACATCTTACTGCAACAAGCTGGTTATGAGAGAAATTGTAGAGGTCAGCAGATAAGGCATTACACCCTCTAAAAGAGCATAGATCTTAGGACTTAGGAGAGGTGAGGAGCAATGGGAATTTATGCCTTTGTTTCAAATGACTTAGCCTCTTTTTCTAGGTTTGTTCATTTAAAGAACAATAAGTTCAAGCACTCATTAGCACAAATAGTAGAGTTTGGAGAAGTTTGCACACTTGATACTGCCTATTTTTGGTGAATCTGAAGTTACTAAAGCACCTTGAACTTTTATTTAATTGTTAAGAATACATTGAATCAGCAGTTGAGGAAATACATAGTCCTAATAGGGCTCAAGTCAAATTTAGACCAAAAGTTCAAGTTTCCTTTGACAAGTCTTTCTGTCTGCATCAGACTAACAATTTTCTCCTATTCTAAGTCAATAACATGTTCGCATGATCTTTCTCGTGGAAGAAACTGGATTAGAGGAACATATTCTTTTGTGATTTTTTATACTATAATCATGGTGTTGGATTCAAGAATAACATGATGCTATAAGAATTTTAGTTCTTTCATTTTTGCATCATTATACTTAAATTAAAGGTTTAGTTTGTTGCTCAACCATAATATGAATGCTGGATAAGATTTTTTATACATATTGGTGGAAAAGTAAATTTAGTTGAAAAGATCGTTAATTTAATGATTTTGATGATGAAGTTTATAGCATATCACTTCTAATTTTCTGAGAGTGTTTACTTTTTGTTTTGTTTTGCAGGATGGTTGCTTTCTTCTTTTGCACATTTTACATGTGCTTGCTGTATGGCCTTTATGTTCCAGACTGGGAATTTGAAGTTCCAAATACAGATCTGTTTGGATACAAACTTGATACTAAAATTGTGAGTTGAATTGTATGATTTTTACCTGTTCATCTACCATTTAACCTTGCACTACCCAATGAAAGTTTGGTTATATCAGCAAAGATGCTGATGTGACTTTTTTTCTTTTTTCAATATGTTGCACAAATGGTTGCTTTTCATTGTTTCTGGGATTAGACTTAGTTTGTTGAACTTTGTTAGTGGGTCATTCTTCACTGGAAGTATGTTTTCTGTTGATTTATCAACCATTTTCTGCTCAAACAGAGTTCTTTTTCTCCATTGCTGTTTGGATTTTGGTTTTTTTAGATATCCTTTAAAATTCTCTTGCCAAGGGAATCCAAACAACAAGCAAATAGTTTTGAATCTGTCTTATTGGAATATATATTGGATGTCTTGTTTGATTTCTGGTCATCAGTGCTACAGTCTTTCATCTCTTTCTTTATGTTATGTGTTTGCCTCCAACTGAAACCATGCCCAGTGAATCTATTTGCGCACTGTCACAACTTTTTAATATATTGAACCACAATCAATTAGGAAAGTTATCAGGAAAAACTGTCAAACAAGACATGACAGCTAAGCTGTTGCATTCAGTTGACTGCCCTTTCTTTATGGTTAACTAACCTGGTGGTAGTTTAGCATTTGACCAATTCCATTTTCAAAAGATGACAAGTTAGAACTTGATTTTCTTTTGTCAGAACGAGCTTATGGTTTTATTAATGTAAAGTAACATGTTATGGAGACAGTTCTTTCCCTTCCATGCTATTACCATTTTTTTTTCCAGTGGAATTCCTGCTAATGTCAAGCTTCAATTCTATCATTCTCCCTCTGGTTTATGGAACTGATTTAAACCACCATATCGTGTTTCCTAGGTGAATTGTGGAGTGAAGGGCAGTCTTGAGCCTCCTTGTAATGCTGTTGGCTTGATTGATCGATTTATTCTCGGTGAACATCATCTATATCAGCGTCCTGTGTATAGGAGAACAAAGGTGATGTTCTGGGCTCCTTTCTAACAAGTAACAGCCGCTTTCTTTCCTTCATCAGGACTTCAACTGTCCAGACAATCATTTGATCGATAAAGGATCTTGACATTAATTGTTTCACAGCAATGTAGCGTTAATTCTCCTGACTATGGAACTCTTCCACCAAATTCACCTGGGTGGTGCCTTGCTCCATTTGACCCAGAGGGCATCTTGAGGTCAGATAACTGCACTGCTTTCTCTTGCTCCTTATTTTATGAATTACCACAGATTATTTTCTCTATTATAATAACATAACATACATCAAAGCCAAGTACCCCCTTCAGATGCTTAACTGTACAAATGAATAGTGATACATCTGTTCACATGTCGGCAAATCATTGGCTGTGTTTTTTTTTTTCCTTGGTGGTGTTGATTTCTTTTGTTTAACAACCTTTTCAACCATAGGAAACCACAATGAAGAGTGTTGATTTCTTCTGTTTAACAACCCTTTCAGCTCTTTGATGGCTGCTATTACATGTTTTCTTGGATTGCAGTTTGGTCATATACTTGTTCATTTTAAGGTATGACACATCTTATTCCCTGATATATAGTGCTTTTCATGGGTAATTACCTTTTTCTGTTTAACTATTTGTCTTGTCAACCAATCTATATTGATGTTAAGGTTTGATGGACTCGGGTAATAATATTTACCTTGCTTGTTTGCTGCAGGGCCACATGCAGAGGCTGTGTTTGTGGTCTGTGTGTTCTTTCACTATACTAATCACTGGATTTGTTTTAGAACTTCTTGGTAGATTTTCTATTTTAACTGTTCATTTAACATCAATGATCTCTTCCAGGATCCTCTTTATTTCAATTAAATAATGTTTGGTAATATTTCAGGCATTCCTTTTTGTAAACCGTTATATACGTTGAGCTATATGTGCATCACAGCAGGAGCATCGGGCTTGGCTTTAACGATTATCTTTTATATAGTAAGTTTGTCATTTGAGTACTACCTAATAAAAAAATAGATAAATAATGAATAATATTTTTTATCATTGCACTTGGTAGTTTTCTGGTCATTCAGGAAAAACTTACGATATTAAATTGATATACAATTTACTTGCTTTTATGTGTTCAAAGAGGAGATCATATTGACTCAAATCACTTAGCCTGAGCTGTTCATATAATTTAATTGGGTTAAAGCCAGGGAAATTAAGATAATATAGGAATCGGCAGCTTCTTCTTGACATGTCATGGACTGAAAGCTTCAGCTCAGTTTTAGTGGAGTTTTATCTGTTGTGATTTATGCTCTTTTTGGATAAGTTGGCTTGGGTTACTTGTTATCAACTTACAACCAACATGGCAGCATAAGTAGGTCAAGTGATCTTGATTTTTCTTGTTATAATTTCTAAGCAACTTCTTTACCTCAAATCCATGAAACTTGGTAAATTTGGTTCTCATGTAAGCTTTGGAATTATCGTGGCTTTAAAGGTTGGAGAAGGAATAGTTTTATGAAGATGTACCAAATTCCATGCCATTTATAGGGGATTGGCTAAATCTTAGCTTGGATCATTATTGGGTTGATGGACAATATCGAAGTTTTTATCTGTTCTTATCCACACTCTTGTTGGATACACTGACATGGCCTGTTTCCCATGCCATGGAGATGTTGGAACTATACAACTCTCAGTCCTGTTGTTTTGTTATCCCCTTTCTTTTCTTTTCCTATTTTGATACTGTTGTGGTGATGTGTATTGTATGCAATTGAGAGATTATTGAAAAGGACGAGACTAAATGGAGATTGGCATGAAAGAATGTTTCAATTGAAACAATTTTATGCAGGTTGATGTCAAACATGTTAGAAAGCCCACGATGATACTTCAGTGGATGGGAATGAATGCACTCATCATTTATGCATTGGCTGCTTGTGACCTTTTCCCAGCAGCCATTCAAGGTTTCTATTGGGGTTCACCTGAAAACAACCTGGTAAGACTTTCTTTTCTACTTGGCTGTCACTCCTGTTCTAAGTTATTTGTTCTCCACCCAATCCCTCCCCAAAATAAATATTTGCTTGTGTAATGGCTTGAGTTCTGTTTATTGGTGCAAGTTTCTATGCTAACTCAGTAGGTGAACACACATGAAGAGGCGCACACACCACACCCACAGATAGAGGATGGATCCACTTACATGTTTAAAACTGTCTTTATTACACAATTTTTTGACCATTAATTATCTTCAATCTAATGGCTAATACAGTGTCTTTCTATATATTTAAACTTTCACTGTCAATATGTGTGTGTGTGTGTGTGTGTGTTAATGACTGTTTATGTCCGTACTCGAAGGAAATTAGAACATAGCACCATTACTGCTAATTTTCTTGTCACTATTTCATTTTTTCTCTGTTAAGATCTATAGTTTGCTGAACCTATAGTCTGGCCTGAATGATTTGATGCTTGATATTGTTTATAGACTTACTTACAACTAAATATGACCGACAGGTTGATGGCACAGAATGGTTGTTCCAAGCTATGTTCCATTCAAAGAAGTGGGGCACCCTAGTTTTTGTAATTGTGGAGATTTTATTCTGGAGTCTTGTCGCTGGTTTCCTCCACTTGAAAGGCATATATGTGAGATTGTAAAAGTATTGTAGATGCTGCTTGTTTCCTGTGAAAGACTAAATTCTACCTTGTGAATAAAATAGAAATTTATATTTGGAACTAGCGTTGTCAATTGTCATTCCTTTAACGTTGTCTCTTTGTTCAGTGGTATGCCTAGTGATCTGTCACTCATTCCTTGGCTGTCAGCCTTAATTTTTCAATTATTACGCTTGAGATTAGAATCCATTACTAGTGACTGGAGTAACTAGTGAGCTTTGGTGCTCGAGGCATAAGTGTTAATCTTCGCTCCTGTTCCCAACCCAACCCCCCCCCCCCCCCCCCCCCCCCCCCCCCACATAGCTCAGGGGCGAAGTAATGATCAAGAGTCGGGATCTATTGTAGTTAAAGATTAGTTGTGAATCTTTTCCTATAATTCGCTGTTGGAAAATCATGGATGGATGATTTCAATAAGCTGGTTTGGATGGTAAGGAGAATGTTAATTCAGCGGAAGTGCATTGGGTATCAACAATGCCAAAAACACTAAACCATGGTGGGTGTTTACTCTTCTTAAACTGGTCACCAAGATTGTGTTTGCTGTGAACCAAGAGTCACTTGTAGTGGTGTGCTCAACTTCTCGGTCCCTCCTGGCCGTTCCTCTTTTGCTCTGTCTTGCTGCCTCTGTCTGCGCACTTAATTTGTGTCCCTTCCTTCATTATTTTTTCTTTGGTTATGCCTCTTCTTGCGTTCTCTTTCATTTCTTTATCTTCTTCTTGGATTTCATTTCACCTCTTAACTTGCGCCATTTCATTTTCTATTTAATTTCTTCCTTGGATCTTACATTTGTGTCCCTCTTTCTTCTTTTCCTTTTGAGTCATTTTATGCCCCTTTTGGTCAATTTCATTATAAAGTATTTAATGCTCAACTGTAGCGGCATTAATTCTTTTACAATTTCCTTTCCCAGGGGTTCATGTTATTTTTATTTTCTTTCACGTAACAGACTAAATTCCATATGGAATCATTTTTATTTTTATAAAAGGATAAGTAAATCAAGGTTGAAGTTTCAAAATAAAATATTATATATATTTCGAAATTCTGGCTGAGATATAATTGAAGTTTTTACTGAAAATTGGAGGCTTGACTCAAATCTTTCTTTGGGGGACAAATAATGTTATTTCTCTTATACATATGTATAGAATTTTCCTATATTTCTATGCGAATATACAAATTTAAGTCAATTTATTTTTAACAGTAACAAATTTAAGTCAATTTATTTTTAACAGTAACGCTAGCTTATTTATCTTCTTCAAAATAAAATGTATAATTCTATACGATGCTTTGACGGGTTGTTGTTTCTATATAGTTCTTAAGAAATTTTGAAGGGTTAAAAGAGAGGTTAAAATTCAAAAAAGGAATATAAGTACTAGATTGAAGTCCCTTCAAGATACACTTAGGACATGATTTTCATCTATGTATTCAAAAGGAAGCAACTAGAAAGTTGTCTCTGTTGTGAAGGAAATTAACAAAAATAACTAAAAGAGATGAGAAAATAAATAATAATTTTTATTGTTCACCCCTTTGCATGTTATTGTGGACGCACTATAGATAAAAGGTGGCATTTTTATGATTTTTAAGCTATTTGGGATATTCATATTCAAATTTTATATCATATTGTATATTGATTTCTGAAGGTTTAAAATGAAATTTTTTATCTCCTCGGCTACCGCATGCTCAAGTATGCAACTTGCATTGGATCTGCAAAAGCCAAATGTGCAAGCCTACTGCTTTTTTTCCTTCGGTTTTTTCCTTTGGTTTTTTCTATCAATTTTTTGTTGTTGTTATTGTTGTTGAATTGGATGTGAAAATTATAAAAAAATAATCGTTTTTTTTCTTCACACAAGCTGACTGTTATGGAATATATAAAATATATTTTTAGATTTAGAATGAATACATATATTGAATTATATTACTCTCATTGTTTAAAATTGATCTTTTCAATTTTTCATTTCTTATAAAAACTATCATAAAATTATTTTTTTATTCTTATTTTTTATGTAATTTTATTTGTTAATAAATATGATTTTTTTTATGTATGGATTTTTGAATTTTTTTTAGTTGTTTTTATTTGCTTATTCTTTATATAATCAAATTTTAAAAATAGAATTCATGTTTTTTTTATTTTTTTTATATAATCAAATTTTATCAAAATTAATTTTTTAGTTTTTTTATTGCACTTATTAACTTTAAGATATTTTTTACAACTTAATTTTTTTTTAAAAAAAAATTCGATTTATGCTACACATTCGACCTAGTAAAGATAGTCATGATGTATAAAAAAAGTCATTGATTTTATTAGAAATTAACTATAAATTTATACACATAATACCAACTATTTGCTATTATTTTTTTAATATGTTAAAACTAATTTTTTAAATAACATAATTGAAATAATGTTTTAGACAAACTACCTAATAATTCAAATATAATTTTTTATACCAATATTATTCATTATTTTGTAAAAAAATAAATATAAATCAAATGTATATATTTTAAGAAAAATACTCTTATCATTAGTATTAAATAAGAATAAAAAAAATTATTTGTTAATTTTTATATAAGTTTTTTTTATTAATTGTTGTTTTACTTCTTCGATGTAATGTTATTAAAAAAAATTATTAAGACATTTTTTTAAAAAATTTATATTTAGATTATTATAGGTTTTTATTTAAGAATAAATATATATAAAAAAACGACTCGTGTTTTTTAACTATAAAATTTATTAAAAAATATAAAATTTTGATTAAAAATCATAAAATTAGATAAAATCTTATATTTTATTTTTAATTTAATATACTTTATTTGATCCATACAATAATATATGCTAACTAACTACGATAGATATGTTTAGCTCGGCCTATAAAATAGTGTGAAAAGCGGCCTAGTAGGGATGAACCAAAGAATAAGGAAAGAAGAAAATCACTATGAACTGCTGCGTATAAAGGTATTTGGATAGGGACAAGACATTAGATTGTTTCAACGTTACTTCATTCTCTAGGACAGGAAAAAGACGATAAAATACCGACAAAAGCCCTATTTAGTGGCTTTCCTGTATTCACAAGGGGCAGCAGAGAATTAACGTTGCTACAAAAGTTACAGGAGTGCACATGGCCCTCGCCCCTCGGCACCTAACCAAGTAAGTGGTAACCTGATTCTTGATATTTAGCCCAGCCCAAGGCCTTAATATCCAATCAATTAAATTGGTCTGCTTGTCTCTATAACCCGAATAGGAAAAAATATATATTAAAAAATAAAAATAAATATCCGAGCTCTAAATTAATATGCGAGGACTTTTAGAGCCACTGGCCAGAGGTGATCGCTCAAAAGCATAATCTAGTCATCATCGGCTTTCCATCCAGAAGAAAGCAGATTTTGTTGTTTGCTATGGGACACGAGCACACCCTTACGGTGAAAATGTGAAGTGAAATCGATATGAGAAGTTACATTTTATTAGCCATCTAAAACACTGATCTGAAGGAAGTAAAGGTCTAGCTAGAAAAAGAAAAAAAAAAAACAATATTATGCCCACAATGTATAAGTCCCCCCTCCCGTATTTTTTCAGGCCACCAGCCGAATTCACAGATCCCGTTTCAACTAATAATTACAGGAAATTAATACTCGTCTGTCGGAGTTTATTTAACCTTTTCTTAAAAAGTGTGAATTCGAGTTTCTCGTCATCAAAAATAATATCCAAAGATGCATTCTTGTATTGGCCAAAAAGGTAAGTGATAGGCAATTACAATAATGCCATAACGGTCGATTGTGCAGATCAAAGGTTAATGCTTTGGTATATATTTGGTTTCTTCTTTTTCAAGATAGGTGCCACTTCTTTGCTAAAAGAGTTCTAACATGGAGTTATCTTTCGGCCATAAAAAATTTGTCAGCTTCAGATCCCACCATCACATCCTGAGGCAAGCATAGAAAGAGTTTTATGCTCACTTCTAATCTTTTCTTTCTAACTTGAGTATATAACTACTCACTTGCCTTGTATTCCACACACCTTGTTGAGCTTTCGCCCTCGTGAAACTCCTTCCCATCATTCAGGGGGAAAAAAAAAAGCATGGCAACTGAGAAAGCAAATGTTGAGGTTTCGGACACCAACAACGACAACCACCAGAATACCTCAACGCAAACCTCAGTTAACAGCGAGACACCGTCATCAGCTGTACCACGCTTTGGAAAAGCACTTGCACACAGAGCACTTTATGGTTCTGGCAGCCGCCACGGTGGAAGCAGAAAGGCCAGGACCAACGATGCGAAAACATCACCAAGCAGGCTAAGCAAGGTTTCACTAGCTGATCACAGAGAAAATAGGGAATGACTGCTTTACTCCACTGGTTCTGTGCTAGATTTCATTTTGATATGAACTATTGTAGAATTCATAACATTCCAAACCCATGTACAACTCTGATACTCAATATCTATGAAGTGATGAATATATTCATTTCTGTTATTCCTGATAATTAGCCAGCTAGTCTACGTCAATTAAAGAGCCAAGATCACCTAATTGGCAATGCTGTGCTGACCACCAATCCCTGAAAAGGGAAAATTATCTGAGATCATACTTGTTCCTTTTTTAGCCTCCATGAATCAATACTGAAAACTTGAATCCACCAGTACCAGTGTCTCTTTACTTTCCCGTAGGTGTATATAACACCAAAAGACAACGCCTGTCCCTCTCTGCGTTCAAACAGGCTTTCAGGTTTCAGCACCAATGGCTGACAAGGCAAATGCATGGCATTGGACATAATCATCAATTCAACACGGAATTCCCTTTTGGGTTTGGGCAAGACAGTGAATTACATGAAAAATTCTATGATATGGCTAGGGCAACACATCAGTGTGGTCATATTATCACTGCTTCTCACAGGAGAGGACAAGGGTCAGGCATCCATGATGTACCTCAAGAAACCACAATGCATGAAGTCTTAACAAGGGCACAGAGTGCATTAGAATACAAAAGAATCCCATCTTTGAACATATGCTATATTTATTCCATTTTCTTGATAACCTGGTTCGAATTTAGAAGCACCAGAGGTTTCTGATCATCCACCAGCCCAATCCATAAAAGAATAAACTTCTAAGCCGATATCGATCATAAGTAGCTAAGTTCGGCAATACAAAATTTGGATCACAAGAAATAGGATAAACCTGATGAGACCCTATACTGCTGAATTTGCAGTTGTCCAAGCCTTGACTTCGGTTGCATCACAATATTCTGACATGTAGGATAGTTTAACTAGCACGTAAAGAAAACACAAATTCTTCGGTAGTATTTCCAGACAATGAGGGAGAACCATTACCAGGTTTTCCAGATTATAAAACCAAACAATTTCAGGGAATTATATTAGTTGCTGACCGTCCCAGTTTCTTCATTGGATAATGCAATAGTTTCTTTTTCTACTCTATTTCAGGTACTTTTAATAAAGAAAGAGCATGACCAGAACTGGCCAAAGAACAGAACTAAATCACTGCTAATTTGACAATTTGGCTGACCCAGTTTCTAACGTCCATTTATCAAGCTTATTCCAGAATAAAATGAATACCATTAACTAGTTCACATAAACTGAACTGCGCTTTGCAACCATAAAAATTCATCTGCAACAAGTATTAGAAATGGATTAAGAAATAATAATAATAATAACCCTCCAATTGAAACACTTAATTTGCTCCAAATATGAAATCCAAGGGAACCTCTTTTTTTCCATAAAAAGACATTATATGCCTCAACAGTTTGACATCAAATGCAACGAGGTGCTTGGTAATTCTGTGCTCTACTCCAATTAAGATTAGGAAGGTTGACAAAATATGGCAAGAATATGATCATTCAGTTTGCATGCGATGACAATAAACTTCTCGATTTTTCTAATAATTGATAGAATGCTTAATAGATCTCTCTACAAAAGAAGCGTACAAAAAATTGCAGGAAAGACTATAAACCGCTGGTGTTAATCTGACAGCATAAGCCAGCCTTCTATTATCTATTACTCCATTCATCTATCCATCTCCAGCAACTTACCTACAGGAATCCTAGCCCATCTCCATTCAAATCACCACCTTCCATCAATGGACAATCAGTTGCATCGTGTCCAAACTGCCCATAGCAAGGCACAGAGCAACGCCTGCGTTTCCTGAAGATATTCATACCATCTCTCAGTCTTCTCTCTTTCATCTTTCCCGATGTTACAGGCTCATGAGAATTTCCATCAGCAAAACCATGGACAAATCCATCAGAATCTTCAACCTCTGGAAGTATCAAAGAGTCGGATGGACTATTATAACCAATATCATTACAAACATGTGCTGGCCCAGGAAATTCCTTGATACGAGACAACACCTCAGCAACTTGATCACAAGCAACATCAAGACGTTCTTCAGTCTCTATTGATTCCGTAAGAAGTGTCGAAACCATGGACTGTAATAACTGAACTTTTCCTGCATGTTCTTCTGAAGTAAAAGTCTGGAAGGGCTTTGTCAAAGATGTACTGACATTGCGCCAACGAACAGGTAGATATTGATCTGGAATGTGAAAACAGTTGTTTGTTGATAGAACACGGAGAACATGTCTACAAAGAATTCCTGAAAATTCAAACAAACGACAGCTACAGCTAATGAATTCATCATGAGGAATCCAGAGAACTTTACACCCTCCATCCATGTCTGTATGGTGTCTCACGATGAAATAAGTCTCATCCACCATTAGGGATGCATATTGTGGAGCCAACACAAGCTCTTCTTGTAGTTTGCTAAAGGCATATGGCGTAAGAACAGTTGCAGCATGAGATTCAATTGGAGATCCCATTTTGAGGGAGATTTTATGAACCTTTCTTTGCATCTTCTGTTTTGGTCCTCCTTCCTTAAATTCAACAGCAGCAGCTACCTGAAAAGGAGAAGGTTAAAATACATAATCTGATGATAGTAATCAAGAGTATAAGAAAAAAAGTTGTCCATCTCCTACCTGCTCCACAAAGTTATCAAGAGACTGAGCACTCAAAACCCGCTGGATATAAGCATTTATGGACTCTGACTGAAATGTACTGGTCATTCCAGCCAAAAAGTAGCACCTTAAATATGGCAGTGCCCAAAATGTGCGTAATGCAAATAGACTGATGATGTGCTTATTTCCATGTAGTCCATATGTATCAACCATCTCTCTCCACCCAACTTCAAAATCCTCCACTGACTGCAAACTATAGAGCCGGTGGAATTCAGCCTTCCATTTATCATATTCCGATCCAAGAGGGACAGAAAACCAATCAGAGAACTTTGCAATGATATGCCATATGCAAAAGGCATGCTTGGTCCTTGGCATTTCAACGGCTATGGCTTCTTTAAGCCACATATTTTGGTCAGTTAATATACTTTCTGGAGCCTTGCCATCCATGAATTCCAAGAATGTCTGTCATACAAATTCAAGGGAGGAAAAAGCTAAGAAATGTTATGAGACATATTCAAATGCTTTGGGGAAAAAATGATATAACCAAATGTCAATTGTAAGGACCAAAGCTTTTAACCAAATGTTAATTGTAGGGACTAAAGCTTTTATGTGTTGTATAATGAAACTGTTGCCTTTAAGACGGTATACAAAAGTTGAAGGAATGAGGCAATGGTATTGTCTTCAAGACGATGGATTAAAGAAAATAAGTGCAACATGAAAAAAACTAATTGAACCCTTTTCTGGAAAACAAACTAAATGCACTTACTAACAATATTGTATCCTAGGACAAGCTCCAGAGTTAAGATAAGACTATACAAGGCCGTGGTTTTTAGATTGAAAAAGAAAACATAAGAAAAATAATCCTGAAGAAATAACAGAAAGGGCAATAAAAAACTGTCATGTGCAATCAACGTATCAGGGAATTAAAATGTAATATATGCATATTAAATTGAAAAGAATGGCACTTAACTCATTTATCAATGGAAACAAAGTTAATTTGTAGATTGAGCTCATAAAGGATAAAAAGAAAATGTGTAAAGTGTACAGGTGTTACTTGTTTGGCAAGACTTGTGACTAAAAGCATATGCCTGCAGGGTCACACAAACCCCTCACCACTAGTTCACTACTTGGCTTTCTTGACCTCAGCCAATGCATGAGACCTATAGTTGATCAAAAGGTGGTTTTGATTGTTTTGGAATTATTATCATGATGTCCTATGTATGATATGACAGCTAAAACAACATTGCAAAAGATCTCACACCTAAAGCAATGCTACACAACTCCTTACCTTCAATGCCCAGGAAAAAGACTCTGTATTTTCATCCCGCAGAAGCACACAACCAAAGAAACAATTAGTTCCATGATTGTCCACCCCAATCCAAATCCCGAGAATCATGTCATAGGCATCCAAACGGTGTGTTGTATCAAATATTATGGCGTCTCCAAAGGCCTCATATGATTGAATAGATGAAGCATAAGACCAAGCAATTTGCTCCAACCGATTATTTGCATCAATGTGGAAGTTGTACTTGAAGTTGGGATCATTGTCCTTCTTGTATTTGCACATTTCAAGAAGGTCAATAGCATCATTATCTCGATTAACATTCCTAAAAGATTGTAGAAGGTTTCTGACCTCTATTTCTGTGAATGGTAAACAGCCAAGTTTAACACCCTTCTCAAGTTCCATTAACCTCAACATTTGTCGAACAGACATGCCAGCTTTTGCATACATGCAAATCCGGCTTTTGTCATCTGCAGACATGGTGCAATAAGCAGGAAGTAGCTGCACCTCATTTGATTTCAAAAGTTCGTGGTTGTGGATGTTGCTAAAACCAGTTATACGCCATTCAGGAACATCAAAATCAGCCCTTTTAACTATTCGCATATACGCTTGGCATCCACATCGAGATGATTTTCGATTTCTTTGCAGCTTTCCATCATCTGAAGCCTTTATTTGAGGATAGCCACCACGATGGCACGTGAAATCCCTTCTTGTAATTCCCCTACCAACACCATCTTTTCCTCGAGTGCGATGGCGTCGGATTGAAAAGCCGCATTGCTTTGCAAAGCTGCAATAAAATTCATATGCAGCATCTTGAGAAACAAATCTCTGGCCAATAAATGGGATAAGGTTAACAGAAGTTTGCCGTGACAAAATTGTGTCCTCTGGCACTTCCTCCACAGTTCCAATATCATCTGGACATGAATCCATGCCACTTTCAGAAGTTTCTTTCACTACAGCTGTTAATCTGGACATTATTTCCATAGTAGATAAATGATAGTGGAGATATAAGACCTGCACAGAATTTTTATAACTTCAAGAATTGAAATATTTTCATTTTATATATATATATATATATATATATATATATATATGAAAGACC